TATTTATTCATTCATTCATTCATTCATTCATTCTATTTTATTCTATAATATCATGTCCACACTGGGAACTGGCATTTACTTAAGTGTCCCACTTCTTCATGGCTTGCTTCTCTCTCCTGCTGCCCAGGTAAAGAAAATGGTAGTGGAGAAAGAAAAAGACAAAGGAAAAGCAGCCTTTTTTTTTGGTCTTCTTCAGATTCTGGCTTTTGAAGCCAGTTTCCACCATCCTACTAAAGCCAAGAAAAATATTATAAGCACATAAGGAATAGAGCACTCGCTCCACAGTGTGTGGTGTACACACCACTCTGCTTAGTCTCAGAAGACACACACATTTAGCCTTTTAAGAAGAGTTTGACTGAAGAACCGGATGTATCATTCTACATTAAAAAACCCACCCTGGGTCAAGTAGTCATGCCATGGGCTTGGTGTAAGGTGACACTGGGGAAGGAAGGTGTTCGGTTTGTTCGATTTTCCTTTTAGAGGCTGGATTACTTTAAATGTTCATCTCTGCAAACTTCCTCCACTCACCAAACAACTCCACCACCTCAGAATTCACTTGCATGTGAGCCAAAATCTGAGAATATGCTCATGGTCTTGTGTATAAAATGGACAAGAGGCTTCTCTAGACTTTCCCTTGAAACTAACAGGTTTCAACTGCCCTACAAACCTCCTCTTTTGCAGAACAGGAAAAGTGTTTAAGGCTGGAAGGTAGCAAGGGCATGAAAGCATTGCCTCTCTTATCACCAGCGGTCACATCACCGGCTGATTACGCTCATGCAATTTAAGTTTCAAACTACAAGCCACAGTGGCCCCCTCTAGCCACAGTAAGAGTGGCATTTCCCCCTGCAACAATTTGCTTGGCTTTCCTCAGTGAAGAAGAGCTGCTGCAGCCCCACCGCAGAAAAGCTTCCACCAGTCACATAACAAGGAAGCAACGCTGTGCTTTCTTGTACACAAACTGGATGTCTGGGAATGTGCATGCCTCCCTGAGGATACCGTGGGGAAGGGCACAGAGCCACAAAAAGAGCTGCTGGAGAGGTCGACTGCAGGAAGGGACCTACATATCATCACCCTTGCCTTTTCCTTCCAAAAAGAGGGAAGACAGTATATAACGACTCTTCTCCTCTCCCTCTGCAAACAAAGGTCTCTGATGACCCTAGAACACATGGGCCTAAAAGGGAACTCATTCTCCAGCCATCAGGGCAGCTGGACGTATTTCACACCCACCCACCCACCCCTCCCCAGTCTATGCACTCATTCATCTTGGCAGCTCTTACCCAGCAGGCTAGCATAGGCACTGCTGACCTGGCCCCAGCGGGCAGGATGCTCTGGGGAGGAGATGAGGAGGGGTTCAGCTGTGCCTGACCAGTACAGGTTGGTTCTGCCACTAGGGAAGGGAATACCGTTGTCCGAAGTGTAGAGCACAAGCGTACTGTTGTGGAAGCCGGCGCTACGTAGTTCCTCCAGAAGAAGGCCAATGCCTGTGTGTTGCACAGAAAGAGAGTTGAATGGCTGCCACGCAGGAGCAATCTGCTCTAAGTTCAGGTGAACGCTCATTTGTACCTTTCACATGCGAGTGAGCAGGTCCCTCTCAACTTCTTGCCTCAGTAGTGAATGGTGCCTGCTTCCCCAGAGAGACAGCGCTCAAAAGACCACCCAACTCTTCTACCACAATGGATTATTATCTCTCATTTGTGTGCCTTTTCACCCAGCTGGAGGAATCAATTTCACTCAGCTGAAATAATCAACCACAAAGGCTTAAGATAAAGAAAATAAAAGCCATCCTTCAGAGATCTAATTTGCAGATTTTTCTCATTGCCTTCTTTCATTGCCAAGGAAACAAACTGCAGTTGTGCTTTGAATATCTAAAAACCACAAGGACACCTTTCCGAAAATGGAGCACTGAGATTCACAGGACCCTAAGCACCATTTGAGGTTCCTCCTCTGTGATGAGGTGGACTTGAAATCCTTATGTTCCCACAGAACACATACTAGGCTAAAGACCAAATATCTTAAGAGCACTAGGGTTGTAGTCTTTTTTCCTCACTTTCTAGGCAAAACTGGTCTGATTCAGTATCCCTGACTAGGTCCCCCTCCAACCCTCATCTGCTCTACAGACCTTTGTGTGATACTGAGCTGAAGGAGAGTTCTTATCCATCAGAGACAGGCAGCCTATTAGGCGACACAGAAAGGAGACTCCCCAAAGCATGTGAGGACTGCGAAGACACTGGGATGTCTCCTGGCAACAACAGCACCTGTTGGCTGATCCTTCCACTCCAGAAGCACCACTGGATTGCTTCACACATGAAGGAAGATCTCTATCCATGACTGGAGAGAAGACCAGAGCTGCCCCTGAACTGAGCTGAGCATCCTAATTCTTATCTCTGATCGCTGATCAGAGACAAGAGCCTTCTCCCGGGCAAACCCTTTTGCAGAATTGAACTGGGAACTGATGACACCAGGGGGGCAGGGCTTGGGGAAAGAAGACAGAGCTCTCGGAGGGAGAGTCCTGACCCCTGATGTTATCCAGTCCGCTAGTGGTGTCCCACCGCCATCCAAGCCAAAACAGTTGCCCGCCCCAGCCCACCTTGATCCATGCGCCCAATGGTCGTATACTGAGCAGCGAGATCTAAACGAGCAGCCGGTGTGTCCTGTACAAAATATGGAACCTGAGGGTAGAAAGGAAAATCAACTTTTAGCAGCACCACAATAAAAAAAGGACCACCGAAATAATGTTAAAAAAAGGGCCAGTGGGGTATAGTAGATAGAGCGTTTTGACTAGAACTCAGAAGACTTGGGTTCCAATCCTTGCTTGACCATGGAAACCTACACGTGTGTGTATGCCTGGCAAGGTAAAGGACCACCGAAATAATGTTAAAAAAAGAGCCAGTGGGGTATAGTACATAGAGCGTTTTGATTAGGACTCAGAAGACTTGGGTTCAGATTCTTGTTTGACCATGGGAACCTACACATGTGTGTATGCCTGGCAAAGGTAAACTACTCCTTGAACATCTCACTTTCCTCACAAAACTCTATGAGGCTCACCATAAGCCAGCAGTAACCCGATAGCACATAGCAAAGTCAACAAAGCTGTCCAGAAACTGGCACAGTCTGGGACGCTTGTGCTAGAAAGCCCCTGCCAAGTTCAGTAGAGATATATCTCCAGTACTCCACCCCCTAAGGCTGACAACAGGGAAGGCAACAGGGAATGTTGCTGCTTATAGAACGCCGAATGCCTGTGCTTCTCAGGGGACCCTGAGCAAAGGAGACATCTCCCTGGTCTCACCTGTACTTGATCTGGGCTATAGTGCTGGGGCTTCCAGTCTGGGATCCAGCCCATTCCCATCTCCCCATTTCCAAATTTCTCACAGAAGACTCCGTACTGGGGTTGAGAGTGGCCACAACGGTGAGGATCATGGAACGCAACGTAAAGGAAAAAAGGCCTATGAGGTGAAAAAGGAACAAAAAAGAGTCTGCAGTCAAGGACAATATCCCATTTCCCTTCTTTTTAACACAAGTACTCTAGCTTTCCTGAGATCGCTCTCTCTCTCTCTCTTCCTAATTACTGCCACCAAACCCTCCTTTCTTTCTCATCCTCAGTCGTGATCCACTGTCCTATGTGAACTGAAAATGGTTTCCCAAACTCTCCAGCTCGCTTCTCAGGCTTGGACTGACTTTCCTGTGAGGAAAACAAGTACGATGGACAGATGGGCATCCTTAGACAGACACCAATACATAGCCTCAAATGCTGGGGAATCTCACCTTTCATCCTGACTGCGGAGGAATTTCCGAACAAGCAGCTTAATTCGGGTGATATTCCTTCCCACTTGCAGGACAGAGCCATTTTCTTCCGTGTAGGCAAAGTCAAAAGGATATACAGCCTCTGGTCCGACGTGCTTCTTCCCAATGATCCCTGCAGCAGAGAAACAGGCACAGGAACTCAGGGACAGGAAGAGGCGGGTGGGAGGCAGAGGAGTGTATCAAGTTTTCTGAACCATTTTTGGCTAGACATACGTAAGCCTTGCAGATCAATCCATTACAAAAGGTCTTCTAGTATCTTGACAGGTCATTCCCAAAACCACAACATTCAGGAACCACCTGCCTCAAAACATCCATAGGCATGTTTGTTTTAGTAGTATGTGTTGAAAGTTAAAGGAAAACATGTACTTGCAAAAATGAAAAAAAAAAAGGGGGGGAAGGTACTCCAGCATCTGGAGGCCCCAAACAACTTCAGTTTGATCTTCTAGAATGCCTTCACCTGCCTTAATAGCTGCTCTCCCAAGCTGGGTCAGAATCCAAGTACCACCCTCTGGGTTTGTGCAGCTGAACAACTTTTATAATTTAGGACTAAAGCAGAGCTTCCTTCTATTTATGCTTCAACCAAGACTCATGCTGATTCCAGCCCAATTAACAACAACAATAACAAAGCTTAATCTTAGTTAGGCACGAATAAGTGGGGGCATGAAGTACAGAGGTACCCTAACATTCCTGTCCATTCCAGACCTTTGCACTCCTGATGCTCTCTTACCTGTCCGGACCCCTGCCTGGCTGAGCAGCAAGGGGAGGCTACGGACACTATCAAAGGAGTCGAAGTGATGTACATCCTGGTGCAACCCATACATCCCATTTTGGTGCTGCAGAGAAAAAGAATCATTCATAACATTAGTAGGACACAGTGCTTATCAACAGGTGATCATGAAGATTTTTCTAAGGTTATTTTTAAAACCACAACAAGGGAGCCATTTTGTGGCTCCCCCATGTTCTCCATTCCCACCTAGCAAGTGTTACCTGGGGCAGGCCTGTCAGAATGCTTGCCCGGCTGGGAGAACAGCTACTGACGGAGGTGAAGGCGTTCCGGAAGATCAAGCTGCGCTTGGCCAAGGCATCCAGGTGTGGGGTGTCAATGGCAGTGTTGTTGTAGACACCACTCTCAAAGCCACCATCATCAGCTATCATGGAGAAAGAACGACAGAGATCAGACTGCGAGATCAAGATCCTCAATCGCTGTAACCAATGAATATCTCTTAGGATTCCCTAAATGCTTCCCAGCCTCCAGATGTTTTCAACTTCAGTGCTCAGGTGCTCCAAGTAGTACGGCCAACCATCAAGGATGTTGGGACCAGTGGACTAGCACATCTGGAAGGCCAAATGTGGAGAACCGTTGTTGTTCCTGACCGGAGGAGGTGCGGCACTCTAGATATTTTGGAAAAACTGCCCTCAGCACTAGGCAGGACAGTCACAAAGGAAAGGTGACAGGATTTGCAGTTTAACAACCTCAGTTGGGCCTTAGATTCCCCATCCTAGCACAACTAAATTTCACAGCTCCAGCAGAGCCTTAGCTTTCTAATGAAGATCCCATACTTAAATCTCTGAAAAACACTGAATCCCAGTCCTGGCACCCTACAGAACAGATAATGTAGCACAGTGATTAAAGGGTTGAACAAAGATACAGGGGGAGCAGGTTGCAATCTCTACTTGACCAACAAGCATGGGTGGCCCAGGCTAGCCACACTGTCCAAGCCTGATTTGTCCCACAGCGTTTTGGCGAGGACAATGTGAGGAAGAGGGGAACCATGACTTTCAGATCTCTAGAGGGATGGCAGCACAGAAATAAATGACAGCCTGCCTGCATTGTACTCAGATGCGCTAGTGAAGGAACCATTACTGAAACCACCGCTGAGGAATTCTGAGTCACCAAAGTGTTCCAAGAGACACGAAGGTTCCATTAACTCAGCTGACTGGACATAAGAGGAAGACGAGCCACAGACTATGCAGGGCAAAAGGGAACATCCCTCCAGCCTCGTGCAGTCCTATTACTGCTGGTCCTGCACGACCAAAAACTTTTGGTGTGAGCAAACCCAGAACGCTAATCTTCAGTGCCCTCAATTGCACTTGGGCAAGAAAGAACTGGAAGCTTGCACCCCAAGTTATCCTTTCCAAGACTGCTAAACAGCTTTTCTTAAAGGCTGCTGCCTTGGTCAGTCTGAAGGCCAAACTGAAGGTCTCCAGACATTTTAGACTTCAGCTTCTAGCAGCCCTAGCTAACAATCAGATATGTTGGTTGTTGGGGGAAGGCTGGCTTCTTTTTCTGGCAGAATTCATGCCCATCACAGTGTGGGATGATTTGAAAGAAGAAACTCAAGTATAAATATCTTTCCCACCACCGTATCTCCATCCTGGGGAAAACTGCACTTGTTGAATTTGTGTCTGCATATTGGATTTGTATAGGTGTGTACAGTGCAAGAGGGCCAACTTTTTAAAAGATTTAGCAAGACAGCCTTGATCAGCTTATCTCCTTCTGCAGCCTCCTCCCATTCCAACCAGAAGCTGCCAGAGGCACCTGGGAAGGGCTGTTGGGGTCCAGCAGGGCTTGATCTGAGATCAGCCTCCTTTGAGAGGCGGGGAAGAGCAGGGACTGTGGCCTTTCACCCGAAGGGCTGCCAGATGGCAATCCTCCTTTGGAAAGCGTCCCCCAACTGAAGGGGTCTCCAACCCGCCGTCTGCGCGCACACACCGCACCCATCAGATTTAAGGAGCCATAAGAGGGAAGACTGGACAGCACACCAGTCCTCTTGGCACGGACTTTCCCCTGTACTAAAGTATGATACCTTGTGAATGCGTCTCAAGCAGAAAAGATTTTGCATCGGTGCATATAAAGTAAAAGTATGCAAAACAATGTTCTCCTTCGTCGTGATGTGCAAGAGACCCCCCCCACACACACACCACCATCTTGCACCCACCCCTCCCTTAATGTGCCCCTCCCTCCAGTAAGATCAGCTGCTGACAAGAGCTATTTCCCGGGATGCCCGGGGGGGGGCTGGTTCCTCTCCCGCAGAAGGGCTGAAGAGAAGCGAAGCCCAGGCCTGGCCTCCTTTGGGGCGATCCAAAGGGGCCCGATTCTGCCCGCTCACCTACGATGAGTAGCACGTTGCGAGGACGGCTCGAGACCTTCTCGGCCCAACAAAGTCCCAGGAGGAGGAGGAGAAGGAGCGCCGCCACCCGGCTCGGCGCGGGGACCGGCATGGCCAGCCCTCTCTTCCCCGGCAGCCCCTTCCTTCCTCACCGGCCGAAAGGAGCAGCCGCTCCCGAGCCCTTCCAGCCTCCGAGTCCCCGAGGAAAGGGGCGGCCGCTGCTGCCCAGCCCCAGCCCCGCCTCCTGAGCGGATCACATGAGGCGAAGGAACCGGGAGCCGAGCGCTCGGCCGGCCTGGGTGAGTGAGGCAGGCAGGCGGGTGGGCGCCTGGTCGTTTCGGGGAGGGATGAGACCCCGGGGCTCCCTGGGATGATGGCAGAAGGAGCATCCTCCCTCCACTTCGTTCACCAGCACATCTTTGGGAGAACATCTCCCGGTTGTTTGCTCATGCAGACCTAGGTCCCCTTCCCCTTCCTTCCTGCCTCTAGCTCCGGGTCTCCATTATGGAGAATCCCGGGTTCTTGCTGCTCTTTTAAGGCTCCTACGTTAGTTTGCCCGTGGCGGTGCCGGTTTCATTAGTAAGGCAGGGGCTCCAGAACCATTAAAAAAAGCACTTCTTTAATCTAGAGTTTTTTTGAATATTCATCTTGTACAGTGTTTACTGCTCGATTTGATAAAGTATCTCACCCTTAGGATAAAGTATTCTGAGGTTTGCAGAGTATATATGTAATATTTTCTTGCCTGTAAATAGCGATAGCCAGTCAAACTATGCATTCCGTCACCACCGCCCAAAAGTAGGGGCTGTAGGTAAGTTTGAGCTGTAAATCTTTTACTAAATGTTAGTAACTTGAAGACACCTAATTTTTTATGATTGTATTTTGCTTGAGTTTGTTTGTATGTTTTAGAAGGGAGGTTGATGACTGAGATTAGGGGTGTTTCCTCCGACTGTTTTATCCAGGAGCAACAGACGTTGGTTGACTTTTGAAAAGTTTTCATTCAGATCTACACCCGAGAGATACATAAACAACAGATATATTTCCAAGAAGTGGCATTGTTAGTCTGGCTCAACATGCTGTCATAATTAAAAGGGAGTGGGGAAAAAAGAAAGGAGTTTAAAGATTTATTTCAGTGTGAGGCTGTAGGTGTATGTCTTGGGCTGGATGTTTAGGTTGGTGCAGTTTTTTTCTTTTTCTTGAAACAAAGTGTGAAGATTTCAGGGAGGGGAAAATGTCCCCCAAATTTACTAGGTCCCATGGTTGTCAATCTTCTTCAATTTCAGTACCTGTCAATAACAATAACAACAACAATAATAATTATTCACACAGTATGTTCTGGTGATAAGGGAATCGACAGTCTAAAAGACTTTATGCTATACTGAGCATACAGTATGCTATAAGACTTTGTATACTGAGCATACCATGTTTCCCTGAAAATAAGACAGGGTCTTATATTAATTTTTGCTCCAAAAAGCGCATTAGGACTTATTTTCAGGGGATGTTTTATTTTTTTTCATATACAACAATCTACGTTTATTCAAATACAGTCATGCCATCTTCTTCTGGTTGCTACACAATGGTGGAGGGCAGGGTTTCACTTAACTGGGGTTTATTTCTGGGAGACGGCTTAAATTACGAGCATCCCGAAAAATCCTACTAGGTCTTATTTTCAGGGAACAGGGTAGGTTTTTGGTGTATCTTATCTAAAACAAGTCAATTGTTTCATTGACTGTGCCTGGTATGTATAATAATAATAATAATGATAATAATGATAATAATAATAATGATAATGAATGAATGAATGAATGAATAAATGAATAAATAAATAAATAATGTACCTTCAAGTCAATTCTGACTCCTGATTATATTTTTCAGGGTTTTTCAGGCAGGGAATATCCAGAAGTGGTTTACCAGTTCCCTTCTTCTGTGGGCACTCAGAGACTATTTTATTTTAATTAAAATTTCTTACAACTTATTTAAAAGGGGTACAAGATGGTTTATTAAATACTGTTATTGAAAGACAGTATTTTAAAGCTTGCAACAGTGAATGTACAATTCCTAAAAGAATCAAACAAATACCATATTAAAAAGCATAAGAAACACCAGAACATCTGGCTTGTGCTAATAATGTTTGGTGATCCAGTTATCCCTAGGAAGGTTTTGGCTTGTGTTCCTGCTGGGTTTAGTTCTTGTTATTATTTAAAACATACTAATTTTTAAATCAATTTTTTACGTTGATTATTTTTAAAATTGATAACAACAGAAGTAAAACCATAGGATGACAATTTAAAAATATACGTCAGAAGGGCATCAAGGCATTAAAACAACACATCCAGGGATAAACGTATCTTCTGTGTGATGGGAAATGTTCAAACATGCACAGAAGCACATACATGAGCAGCACCAATAGATAAATTGGTGTTTGATTATTAACGTATATCGTAGCACTCATTTTAAATACTGTTAATATTAAAATGAAGATTTGCTGAAGTAGCTACAGTATATCACATCTCAGGGCTGGAACAATGTGGTTTTTCCCCTCCCAGGTGTGCCTATGAACCTTCTGTTGCCTGTTTTATTGGAGAAGGTCTTCTCATTTTTATTTTTATTTTTTAAAAATTCTTTATTTCAGTCCATTCAGAATAGCATAACATAACTATACCTATTGTGTTACAATAATAAAAATGTATTTGTTCATAAACTCTTGTATATGCACGCACACACACTGTTTACATTATCTCTTTATCTTTTCACATAGTCTCTTCTTTGGCTCATTATTGCATTTTTATGTCTAGCTAATGCCGCTTAGAATAACCAGCAACCTATTATCCACTTGGTTTACTTTATTTTTGAATCCATATTGGATTTCAACAGGGTTTGCCACATCTCTATGATGTTATCTTTATAAATCTTTCCTCTGTATAATCTGATTGATTCATCATTTTCTCAATCAGCAGCACTGCCCATATTTTATTCATATCTTTGCAAAATAAGGTCGTGAGCATCTTTCCAGCATTGGGAAATTTCGTTCTGCGCTGTACTTATAAGAGTTGCCTCCGATTCTTTATCTGATCAGTTTCCATTTCCTCCAGTCAAAACAGAGAATAAGATTTCATTTGGAACTATTTTTTGATTTGTTATTTTTTTTCTAGCCAGTTAATCACCTCATACCAGAATACTCCTACTTTGCCTATTTTGGGGACCTTTGTGACTTGTCTTTGCAACAACTGCCAGAGATGACATTCCTCTTCTGGGACCTGGACGCGCTTTGGCGAGGTTTGCGACTGGACTGATGGATTTCAAATGAATCAACTTGAACTTCTGTAAGCCCAGGCATGGCGGAGGGGAGCCGAGTGTGCTGGAAACAATGCTGCAGAGCAACCAAGAAGAGGCTGCCGGTGCTAAAGTGGCTTCCCAAGTATTCTCTCCAGTGGCTGCAGTTCGATCTCATCGCTGGACTTACTGTGGGGTTGACCGTTGTGCCCCAGGCCCTTGCCTACGCTGTAGTGGCTGGCCTTCCAGTGCAGGTGAGGTCAGTGATCTGGCAGCTGTCGTTACCCAGATCTGCTTGATGGGCAAAGGACGCATACTTTGAGGGGGTACAACATTGGTTAGTACCATGTTTAGCAGGAGAGAGAGAGAGAATGAGGGAGAGAGCACTTGCTCTCATACTGCTCCCTGTTCTAAACTGTTGGAGATAAGTACGTGGGAAAGGGTCTGATGGTGATGCAGTGTCGCCTGTCAATGTGGCATCCTTTGCTCAGGGGAACGGAGCAGAGAATCCTGAAGGAAGGTCTGCTTGGGATCCTGATCAGCAGCAGTTTTTGAGATCTTTTTGTTCATTTCTACTGAACCTTTGCCTGAACTTGCTGAGCTGGCAGAGACAAACACTTCTGTATACAGCTAGTCTTACAAGAAAGCCTGCATGTTTTGGGGAAATAGATTGTCAAACTAAGGAGACCTATGATGGGATCCTTGCTTGGCCGTGGAGACTCACGGCAGGGTGATAGTGCAAACAAAAAACACTCCTTAAATATCTCACACATCTTAAAAACTCTGTAAGGTTACTAGATCAGTTGCTGATGGTCATTTTTCCCCCTTCTTCCCTTTAGTATGGTCTTTATTCCTCCTTCATGGGCTGCTTTGTCTACTTCCTGTTGGGGACCTCGAAGGATGTTACGCTGGGGCCTACAGCTATCATGTCCCTGTTGGTCTCATCCTATGCATCCCATGACCCTGCCAATGCGGTCCTGCTTGCTTTCCTCTCAGGCTGCATCCAGTTAGCTATGGGACTTCTCCATCTTGGTAAGATCTGGCTGATGCTGTGTTAGATCAAGTCCATGGCCCACCAGGCTCCCTGACTTGTTACAAGGAACCACCGAACAGGAAGACTGGACATGGTAGATGACAGAGAGAGAAGGGGAACAACCACGTGTTATTCAAGATTTTAGTATTTGGATCAGAACATTGAACTGGAACCTCAGCCATCCGTGAATTTCAGGGAAGTCCTACACCAGAAGTAAGACCCACTACATTTGATGGGGCTTACTCTCAGGTGGAAGAATCAGCAGGAATGAGGAACCCTCTGGGTCTCCGAATGTTGCTGATGTAAAATTGGGCATAACTTCTACCTGTTAGCCGGGCACTGTAACTGTTGGTGGTTTAAATGAACCTGGAGGATCAAAATGCATCATCCTCAAACTGTAGGTTGTCATCCAAGCTTTGCAATTTTGTGCACATCTATTCAGTGGTACGATCCATTGATTTCAGTGGGATTTTCTCCACCTAAGCATGCAGAATTGCAGCTCCGGTGTCTGATTTTTTAAGTCATCATTGTTTGTATTTCCTGGTGTCTCCCTGTTGTCATTCCCTGGCCATGTTTTCTGAAATGTATATATTTTAACCATTGAGAGTGTTCTAAGTGCTCATTTTGTCTATTTTAATTTTTTTAAAAAAATATACACAATTTCTTCGGAAGTAAGGATCAGTAATATTTAAAACTGGTAAAACCCACAGGAAAAAACACCCAGCCTAAAGTAATACATGTTAATATTCAAATCATCATCCTTTTCCTTGTGTTGTTCTCAAGTTGCAGCTATGTTAGTTAAACTGGTACCTGCCTACAGTAGTGCATTGAGCATGCGAGAGCATGCTTCAGTTGCACTAGTGATTGGGAACATGCTTTCTCATCTTCATTCTGTGCAGCTGCCTGTGTTTTCATTTGCTTGGGAAAAGGAGCAAAGGGAGGACTAGAGATTCTCGGGCAGGATGGACCCTGCTTAGTACAAAAGTTGCCTATGGTCCTTCCCGCCATTTTGGTGTATGGGGTGTATGTGTCTCTGCCACTGCTGTACTTACTGCTATAGCATTAAAGAAGAAATGCTTCATGAAGTCTCTGGGACACATGATCCCACTTGTAAACAGGCTGCATGGATAGCGCATGTCTGCTTTTAAAGAGGGAATGAAATAATTTTGCTGCAACCAGGTTCCCTGCACCTGCTACAGATTTTGTAGCAGGTGCGGGGAACCAGCAGATGCAGCCCTGGATGGTTCAGTGGGAGCCAGTGTTCTTCCTTATTCTCTAAATGCTTTTTCTGCCTCTGCTGTACTAACTCTGGTGTGAAGGATGGGTGGTCAGAAAGAAGAGCAACCCATCACATCCCATGAATCTAGGACCAAAAAAAAGGTGAGACAAAGTTGGAAGTGGCAATTCTTGTAAGTTACCACCTCCATATGGAGGTGCCAGTAGTAATGGGTGAAGCACTCTTTGAAATCATTGGCCAACCAAAGTATGGAATTTCTTGATTTCTCTCAGGAAGTACCCTTGAACTATGAATGGAATTGCTAAGAGCCCGGCAGCTGTGGTGGGGTAGAGGTCCCATTGACCTGGTTGGAGCAGGTCTTCATAAAGTTAAAGAGCAATGTTTTATTCCTGGCAGGTTTTCTCTTGGATTTTGTCTCCTATCCCGTCATTAAAGGGTTCACATCGGCCGCTGCTGTCACTATTGGGTTCAACCAGATCAAGGTAGGCAGTTCTCTGCTTTTCTCTTCTTCTCCCTGGTGATCTTTTGTAGACGCTCCAGTGATCAAACAAAGTTCTGTTCTGCTATTGCTGATGTTCAGCTATAAAACTCAACGTTTATAAGACCATGGCAGACCTGCCTGTTCAACAAACATGACTGGCCTCTGTGGAGAAAGGATTTTGTGGGCTTGGTGCTATGTGGGGGAAAAGGCTCACTGGAGGATCCCAAAATTACTCTGGCTGCTTTTTTGGATTAAAACATATGAAAATGGCCCTTATTTTTGGTCTTTCATCGTGTTTGCTTGAGGATTTTTTGGCACTCCTCTGTTTCTGTGTGAAGCTGGATCTTAAATACTTCTCAGGTTACAAAGTCTTTGCTGTGCCAGTAATTTTGTAAAACAGAGATACCTGCCCATTTTTGTGAGTTAGGGTGTCTTGGTTGTCTTCCCTGATGACAGCTGCACTGCCATGCCTGTTGGTTCCAGTGGCAAGTGTACAGCTGCATGAGCAAACTGGGAAATGAAAAACACAGAGATGTAACTGGGAGCCAGGGGGCCCTTCATTGCAATGTCAACTAGTCATGGTGGTGGTTTGAGAGGCAAGAAGGTTCTGCTTTGTTCAGCTTCCCATGATGCTTGCATTGACCTTATTGTCCACAGCACAGGACAACTTCCTGTACACCTCTTCTCAGCCATCCATGTTGTGTTTGGAGGTGGGGTTGGTTGAGTCTTCGTCTTTGTTTCTGTTATCTTTTCAATCTGTTGAATGTTTCCTTTGTGGTTGACCACAGTCACCAGGGTGTGGGGTAGCAGATGATAGGAATTGGTGACTGAGCTCTTCGTGGTTGCAGTGAGCGTCATTTCTGAACACCTTTCGAAAGAGGCCTCAGCTTTTTTTTGACCCGAAAGGCTTTGAAGTGATTCAGGCAGGTGGAAGTAGAACATTTGCGCTCAAGTTAAGATTTTATTGTATGAAAAAATGTTCTAGCAGGGTTTGTCTCGGCATCTGTTTATCTTTTTGAAGAGACAGTGTAAGAGCAGGAAACACCCATCATGGAAATATACATTACTAGATTTTAAAAATGCAACTTTGACAGGAAATAGAATTCTAAGCATTATTAATTTAAGATTTTGCAGACTGACTATTATGTGGCTGTATGGATAGCTGGGTGGGAGAGAGCAATCTGCCTGCAGCTGTGAGAAGGTTTCCTGAATAAACAGAGGAAAGGTTCCTGCCCATCCTGGCCTGTGGGGGCCCAGAAAGGTTTTGTAAATTCGTGGCTTTTTGTGTCATGGATTCACCCCAGTTCCAACCCTCCAGAAGCTTGGAAGTAATGTTTTAATTTCATGTGTTAATGTTAAAATAATAATTTTTTGTGTTAAGTGAGGGCAATTCAATTAGTCTTAAGGAAAGAAGCAGTAATATAGCTGTGTCAACGTCAGTGCTGAAATTGTGCCTTTCAAGATGCTGCCCTCTAAATGTCTGTTAAACACTGTTTAATGCAATGTTTTGATGCTGCCGTGTTAAAATAATGCATTATTTCCAAGCTCTGCCTTCTCCCCTAGACTTGCTCTGCTCATTTCATATGCCTTGTTTTTCTAAAGTCATGTGCCATTTTATTTAAAGTATGCGAGACACCTTGGAAACAGAAACCTAATGTATTTCAAAGATGTAAGCATATTTTGGGTGGTGCTTTTAAAGTTCCACAATAATTATTATCTAGATTAGGATGGGAAAAAGTAAATGAGAAAATCTGGGTGATGTGTCATTTCAATAGGAGACTAAATATGTTTTCTGAAAAGTAGTGACTCACTTTCTTTTTCACACCCTGATATCCTGAGGTAGCCATAAACTGAAAGCTCTCAGGAAGGAAATGAGTCCCAGCTTAAGATGGCTCATAAAGCAGAAAAGTAACTATTTCAGACAGTCTCTGGGTTACTTTGAGCCAGAGTGTGTGTATCTTCGCCAGCTTCCTAGCGTACATGTTCTAATTGTTTTCCTAACTAGATGTGTGAGGATAGCATTGTTTGTTAAATTCATTTCCACAGGCACTCCTGGGCTTGCAGAACATCCCACGACAGTTCGTCTTGCAAGTGTATTACACTTTCTGCAAAATTGGTGAGACAAGGTAAATGAGCGTCTCTGTACTTTTCCTCTTCATTTATCCTCCTTTTGAGATCTTACATCTGTGAATGTGGGGAGTGTAGGTGGGATTTAGCTGGACATAAGAGGGGCCCTGCAATTGTTCCAGGTCAAAGCAGTTTATTTTTCAAGCATCCTTGGGCTCTGAATCTCCCTGGAGGGTCATATTCTTCCAACTCCTCTTCATTGGCAGTGGGGATGGTTATGGGGCAGAAAGCTGAGTTGCTAACGAGAGAGATGGGTTTGGGGGCAATGTAATTTTTTACCTCTTCTTGGAAGGCCAGAGACTCTTGAGAGAGAGAGAGAGAGTGCATATGTTCTAAGCGAAGGCCAGAGACTCTTGAGAGAGAGAGAGTGCATATGTTCTAAGTGAAGTGCCTCTAACTGAAGCAATGGGGAGGTTCCCCAGCCTTACAGTATTTGATTGGCCTCTCCAGGGTGCACAGAGCTTGGCATGCAATTCTTTAGAAAAAGCTGAATCAGCTATATATGACTATAATGGAGGAATAATGGCACCAGAAATGCTGGCGCCTCTTGTGAGGATAAAGGAACATGGGTCCAGATGTAATTTCTCAAGGCCTTGATTCATGTCTGGGTTTTTTAAGCCAATATAAAGCCTAAATGACTGGCCAGAAAGTATTGGGCAAACTGGCTTTGTGTAGATTTATACCTTTGCAAGGTATCCAAGTTGGTGGTAAGACCACTGTTAATGTCCCTCATGCATACACCCATTGGTTCAGGAGGGAGAAAACTTGCTTGGAAGGGACATGTGAGGGAGACAACCCTTGTTTTTGCAGGGGCCCCTTGCGGCCAAGTTACAAATGTTATTCTAACTTCTGTGCAGGGCTGCGGATGCCATCCTTGGGCTGTTCTGCCTGATATTCCTTGTGGGGCTGCAACAAATGAAAAAGAGCATCCCCAGAAGCCACCGGATGGAGAGTTTTTCTGTCAGGATCAGTCACCTTATAGTCTGGACTGCAGCTACAGGTTTGTCCAACCTGTACTATAAACTAGCTTTTAGTATTATTGTTTCCCAACTGTGTGCTCTTATCTATGCTGAATTGTCTGTGTGCTATCTGCTGTCAAATTGCATCTGACTTAGAACAACTGTAATAGAGCTTTCAAGGTAAGGAAATATTTAAGGAATGGTTTTACCAGGGTCACCCCTCCCAATTGAGTTTCAATGGCCAAGTGGGGCTTTGAACACAGGTCTTTCAAGTCGTGACCCACCTCTCTGTCTACTACATCATGCTGGGCTACTTGTATTGTATTGTGGGTTTTTTTTAATTTTGGTTTTTTTTTTTGGCAAAGCCATTGGTGGTTAATGCTGGTGTAATAGTTTGAAATGCTTTTTTTCCTCAGGCGACAAAGTGGGTTGTAAATCCTTCTCTGTGGGTTGGGAGTAAACTTGGCTAGGTTTAAAACCTCGCATGTGGAGTGGTTGAGACGAGGAAGGAGTCCTGGAGATCAGCCTGAGGTAGGACAGCCTAAGAACAAGGAAGATAAATAAAGACATGCACAAAAGGAATCTGAAAAAGATAAGTGATAGAGAAAAATGAAACACAGGTGAAGAGGTAAAATGCAAGAGACAAGGGGTGGCCTGTGTTTGGAGTAGGTTGAGGTTTCCTTAATTCAGGAATAGAAAAAAGGTGTGCACCCTGTTCTTTGATAAACTACAGTTTCCATCAATGTTAGCTAGCCTTGCCAGTGGTGAGGGGATTATAGGAGTGGCAGTCCAATAGATACCTGGAGGCCACACATTTCCAATTTAATTTCTAGAAATAGAGCTTAGTATAATGGGAATATATCTAATAAATATCCTCATGATTTGAGAAATACATGATATAGAAGTTGTAGCCAGCGAGTGTCAGTACGTTTTAGAGCTTTTCCCTCATGTACACACATACCCAGGGAGACACCTGATTGATGAAGTGCAACGTCTCTCTCTGTGAAGCAGCACATGTTCCCAAATGCATTGCCAGGCATACACTGGTGGCCTAGTGGAGATGCTTGCTGACGGCTTCCATCGTCTGCTGTGTTTACCAACCATGTTTCAGTACGGCCATTTGGCAAAGCAGCAGTTTACCATAAGATTCTCTCCCTTGCAGCCCGTAACGCTCTGGTGGTCCTTTTTGCTGGTCTCGTGGCTTACTCCTTCCAGGTGATGGGCTCCCAGCCATTCACCCTCACAGGAGCCACACCTCAGGGACTCCCTCCGTTCCAGCCACCGCCTTTTTCCAAAGTCACACCCAACGGGACCGTTTCCTTTCAAAAGATGGTGCAAGTGAGCATTTGTGTGTGTGTGTGTGTTTTTTTTTCAGACTTGTGCAACTATTGTCTTTGTGAGGCTGGAAAAAAAAAACCTGAGGCAGGTGTGTGTGTGTGTGTGTGTGTTTTCAGACTTGTGCAACTGTTGTCTTTGTGAGTTTGAAAAAAACCTGAGGCAATTCACAATAATTGAAACAATGGCAGTTAAAATTATGGCTGTTCCAGTGTCAGCAACTTAAAAAAAATCACAACTAAAATAGAAGCATGTTCCTCTCAACACGGCATAAAAATTGCATTAAAACATTGTTAATTGGATTTTAATTTTTTTAAAAAAGATCCTGGGGTCTCGTTAACTCAGTCATGCTTCTAAAATTTCTCCTTGAGTTGGGGACTGGAATCTGCTTAGAATTACTTTGCAGCTTCAGTTTCTTCTGTATTTTATACAGGCAGAATCATACTTGCAACTTGCAATCTAACCCTGTGTGGTTTTTCAGACTAGTTTGGGCAGCATGGAAAGTGGCAGTCTTTTGCATCTCTGTTCTTCTGTGGTTCTGGAACTTGGAACAGGGTTAGGAAAGTTACTGTTTTCGACTGTGTCTCACAGAATCCTTTCGCCACCATGATGGATTTTGGGAGCAGCAGCCTAAAAACTTACTTTTCCAATGTATGAAACCTGGTTGAATATGACTTTGGTCTTTCTTATCCAATGCAAGTTTGTGCATTGGATCCAATTCCAATTTGAAGGTAGCTTATTTTGTAATTCTGATCCATGAGGCAGGCAGAGGGATAGTGGCTCCCTTATGCTGTTTGAGGCCTATTTAGGACATCTGACATTGTTTTCCAGCTGAAAAGAGTTCTTGATTGAAAAAGAGAACCTGGGGTCATCAACCTGAATCTCCCTCACAAATTTGTTAGGACAATGTACAAGGAGTTCTGGATATGTCAGTCCTTTACAAGTCATGATATGGGGGAAAATAATTTCCACCATCTTGTTTGAAGGGCTGGGCCCTCCTTAGAAACTGCAAGCAGCAGAAAGTGCCTGCTTGAAATTACTGAAATATTCTAAGAGCCAACAGAATGGGTTTCTAAGGCTTGACTGAACAAAGGTTGACTGACTCCTATGTATGCAGTACTCACCAATTAGATACTGAGGTGAGGGTTATTACTTGTTTTTTTTGTTTCTGATCAGGGCATGTGAATGTTTACTAGGAGGTTGCAGTACTCTCTTCCTGTTGAAATGCAGGCTTTCTTCCCCATTACAGGCAATGGGCGATGGTTTGGTGGTGGTGCCACTCATGGGACTGCTGGAGACAGTGGCTATTGCCAAAGCATTTGGTATGATTTTCAGCTTCTCTGGAGACAAAGATGGGGGGATGATCCCTTCCGCATGCCCTGGTGACCAGTGGGATTTGGGGAAAAAGGGCTTGCTGCTGTCTGAGGGCATGTTTTTGTGGAGAGAAATTGTGGATAAATACAACTACCGTATTTCCCTGAAAATAAGACAGGGTCCTATATTCATTTTTGCTCCAAAAAATACATTAGGGCTTATTTTCAGGGGATGTTTTATTTTACAGTCACGTCATCTTCTTCTGGTTGCTGCACAATGCTGCACAATTGTGGAGGGCAGGGTTTCACTATACTGGGGCTTATTTTTGAGGGTAGGGCTTATACCTCTTCCATGTTTTGCATACATGGACTGATCCAAGGACACAGTGCAGCCACACACAAATCCAGCCTCTTGGTAGTCTCAAGCTTTCTTCATTTCTGGATAATCAGTTCAGGACAAGTCAGAGGATTCATTTTGTGTGTGCTGTTGTTGAAAAACTGGGAATTAGAAGGCCTTGTGGATCTACTTGAGACCAGCCAGAGGTCTGTTAATACATCCCAATTCAATGCCTGTCCATCTTGGGTCTAGGCAGTCATGTTCTCAGTAGAGACAAGGGAAGCCTTGATAATGGACTATGTTTTACATTCTTCCAAAAGGATCTAGGATGGCTCTCGGCCCCATGTTCCCATTTGTTCCACATTAGCGTGTCTGCTGTGCTTTTTAGCGCTTTTACTTTTTAGGAGTAACAGAGTATTTGGCTCTTAGCCCAAGCAGTATCTAAATTTTCTTTTTTTCCTTCCAGCTTCTCAGAACAACTACCAAATTGATTCCAACCAAGAGCTCTTGGCCATGGGTAAGACCTCTGTGCCGATAGATTGGATTCTGTGGGGAGGGCATCGGATTCGGTCTTCTGTTTAAGAGCCACCAGGATAGAGTAAGACTGAGTCTGAAAAGGAAGACCACATGCTAACATCGTAAAGGGCTTTTATAATGGTTCTTCTAGGCAGTAGATGGTGTTAGCATGTAGGAAGAAGAAGACTTGGGGACAAGCAGAACTTGTGAAATAACCCCTTCAATTTGCCTCCTTTTAAAAAGCCCTCCTTCAGGATCAGACAGTGGAAAGAACCCTTGTAAGCCTTGAGGTGGGAGGTCCAGAAGGAGAGGATCCCCCCGTTTTGGAAAAGTATTTTGCCTAGAAGGTCGTCTTGTGCTCTGTAGGGTATATGGGGGCGGGGGCCATTCTGCTGTTTTTTGAAGGGCCCCAAACACCCTTGCTCCCCAAATCCCATTTAAAAGGAAAAATAAACTTTTGGAGGGCCCTAGAGGGAGGATGGGGGATTTTAAAGTGGGGGGGGCAGTTTTTATCAGAAAAATATTGAGGGCGGAGTCATGGGAGTGGGTGTGCCATCCCGAGTCCAAGGATGGGAGCTTGTGGGCCTTGGACCTCTGGAGATTGACCACCTCTGGTGGAGGAGTTCTAGTGGGAGAGAGTGCCCCCATAACTATTTTCACCTTCTTAATTACCATTAGAAGATTTCTCCTATTATTCATTTAAGTCTACCACTTTATACCTTGAAACTACAGTGGTGCCTCGCAAGAAAATGTTAATTTGTTCCACGAAAATTGTTGTCTCGCGAAAACATGGTCTTGCGAAACGCGGTTCCCCATTGGAGTGCATTGAAATCTATTTAATGCGTTCCAAAGGGGGGGAAAACCGTCTTGTGAAGCATCGGTGAAAAAAAAAAAGTCTTGTGAAGCACAGACCCAAACATCATGTAGCGAAAATTGCCTTAGGAAAAACCGTTTTGTGAAGCGCAACGGCGATCGCAAAAAAAGCGAAAATTGCCTTAGGAAAAACCGTTTTGCGAAGCGCAACGGTGATTGCAAAAAAAATCGTCTTGCAGATTAATCTTTCTGCGAGGCAATCGTCTTGCGAGGCACCACTGTATTAGTTCTTATCCTGTCTTCAAGAGTTTGTACTTTTTAACACAAATAATTCTGCTCTGTGAAGAAATAGGAAACCAGGACTCTGTATCCTTCACAGGGGCTGGACTCAGTGATCCGTAGGGTCCCTTCTGCCTATGTAGTTATAAGATGATGATGATGAATCCTTAGTCTTTCTTTCTGTGTGACCTCCAGGGTTCACCAACATCCTAGGTTCCTTTGTGTCATCCTATCCTGTCACAGGCAGCTTTGGCCGGTAAGTATTTATTATATTCATATTTTGCCTTTCTCCCAGTGCAGATAGCACTAAAAGCAGAGTGATTTGTAGAAATTAAATATGGTTAAATAAATTAAAAATAGCCTTCTAGTTAAAACAATTTTAAACTAATTTCATTAAAAACTTAATCAGTTGTCAACTGAAACATTGGCAGCTTTTCCCCCCTGGAAGTAACTTGACCTTTAGTTCCTTCTGTACTCTTGTGCTGTTGCAATCTGCAAATTCAAATTTGTCAGGATAGGATGAGCCGTGTTGGCTGCTCCCTCTGTCAGGAACTTCCCCTCTTGCTCAGCTGCTTCATGGAAGGATTTCACATAGGGTGGTTGGAAACCCTCCCTTACATAATTCCCTCTGTGATGCAGCTGAGAAGGGGGTGAAGGCCCCGGCAGAGGTGACAGTCAACACTGCTCGTCCTATCCTGACTAAATGTGAACCACAGATTGCAAGAGGAGAAAAGGCGGGATGCTGGCCATTGAGAGCACTTTTCTCAGAAGCAAGTTCTGTCTGACTTAAAATGTCTTTTCTTACTGATAGAAAGACAATAGAGATGGGGACAGCCTGTTTTCCTTTGGAATGGAATTCCACACCCTTGGAACAACTAGGAAATGCTTTTGTAAATTTTGTGGAAGTACATCCTTCTATGGATGATGGGCACCTGTATTCATAGGTGCTCACACTCTGTATTCAGCTACATTCATGATGTAATGCAGAAGTCCTCGTGGCTTGAAAATAATAGCGTCCAGCAAATCCATGTGTAAAATCACTCTTCATGCATTAATTGTCTTTTAATACTCTTTATCAGGGTGGATTTGATTTGAATCCAGTAGATTTAACTCACAATTTCAGTTTTTAAAAAATTAGATTTAAATTCATAGTTGCCAGTCCTATATATGTATTATTGAAACTGCTAGTGGCATTGTTTTTGGTGGGGTTATAAACTTTATGTGTATAAGGCACCCAGGTTGGTTGACACAGATGGCAAGTAGTAAATGGCACCTGAGATGATTTCTAAAGGTTGCTGCATTTCTCTTGTTAGAACCAAAGTTATGTCAAGAAAGAAGCCCTGGTTTTAAAAGCCCAGTTCCCTGAACAAAGCAATCCATGTCTATACACCCCTACAAGTTTGTGAATTCTGTTGTGTAATACTAAGACCTTATTCTCATTGCCATCAATTTTTCTTATATATGTATTATTGAAACTGCTAGTGGCATTGTTTTTGGTGGGGTTATAAACTTTATGTGTATAAGGCACCCAGGTTGGTTGACACAGATGGCAAGTAGTAAATGGCACCTGAGATGATTTCTAAAGGTTGCTGCATTTCTCTTGTTAGAACCAAAGTTATGTCAAGAAAGAAGCCCTGGTTTTAAAAGCCCAGTTCCCTGAACAAAGCAATCCATGTCTATACACCCCTACAAGTTTGTGAATTCTGTTGTGTAATACTAAGACCTTATTCTCATTGCCATCAATTTTTCTAAGATGATGGGGCTCCATCCTGCCACCATAATGACTTCGTTTTCTTGTGGCAGGACCGCTCTGAATGCACAAACGGGTGTGTGCACGCCTGCTGGAGGACTAATCACAGGTAGGGGCTGGAAAGAGGCCTTTTTATCCTGCTGAGTTGCATCATAGTTAAGGGGTGACCTGGCAGACAGACACTGGATTAGTGACTTTGTTCTTGTAACTTCTTGGGAATGAAAGGTGATAATTCATTTAGGAAGAGGCCATACAAAAGCAGAAGGGACGTGGTGGCGCTGTGGGCTAAGCCGCAGAAGCCTGTGCTGCAGGGTCAGAAGACCAAGCAGTCGTAAGATCGAATCCACGCGACGGAGTGAGCTCCCGTCGCCTGTCCCAGCTCCCGCCAACCTAGCGGTTCGAAAGCATGCAAATGCGAGTAGATAAATAGGTACCATCTCGGTGGGAAGGTAAACAGCGTTCCATGTCTAAATCACACTGGCCATGTGACCACGGAAAGATTGTCTTCGGACAAACGCTGGCTCTATGGCTTGAAGAGCGGGATGAGCGCCGCCCCCTAGAGTCGGACACGACTGGACAAAAATTGTCAAGGGGAACCTTTACCTTTTACCTTTATACAAAAGCAGGAGTCTACAGCAAATGGAATAGGTGCCACGATGGTTGCAATTAAAGGAGTGTTTCTATAGCTCTTTATTATGTAAGATCATGGAAACCTCACAACCCTGCTGTCTTGAGCCCACAATGGTGAAAAAATAGTCTTTGACTATATTTGAACATGAAGTGATTTTTCACTCTGGAGGAGATGATTAATCAGAATCTTGCAAGCTACTCAAGTAAGCCAATAATGGCTGGAATCCCATGGATATTCGCCTATGGTTTGCATAACTTGCCCAATCAAATTGTGACTAATTGATGAGGTGGACACCAGGTAGCCATGAGCGCATGTCTCTTCCGGCTGGCCCCTCCTTCAAAACTGCCCTCTTTCTGCATCTCATGGGGTGGTATATTTGGGGTTGTTCCTCCTTGCACTCTGTCCAAGGTGTCCAGTTCGCCCTTTCACCTGCCTGCCTTCTTGCCTGATGAAGATGGCTTTGGTGCTGCTCCCAGTCTTTTCCTGCGCGAGGGCTCAAGGTGTCAGCTAAAACCCAGAGAAGAAGCCACCCTGCAGCTGGAGGTGGGGCAGCTAGTCACTTCTTTCTCCTACTCCCATGGGTTCCTACCTCCCCGCTCCCTTGATACCTGAAACTAAGTCATATTTGGGAGTGTGTGAATGAGTGTGCATGCACACTGAGGAGGGGGGGCACATATGTGGAAAGTCTGTGTGCAAGTTTCATGGAGTGACACTGCACTTCTGAATTTGCAGCGACACTATTGGTTGCATAGTCAGATGTTTTACAGGGCACTGGAAAGGGACATGCCCAGCCCCTCATCAGTTAGCCACAATTAACTAGAGCAGGTTACACAAGACTAAGCAAACACCGGTAGGATTCCTGCCCATGAGTCTGGGTTTCCGTCTGGGTTCTATGTTTCAGCAAAGGTGGTGTGGCCTCTCTGCTTCCCTGCCATGACAATGGATGCTGACCCTCCGTCCCAGCTCTGTCCCGCACTCCTGAGCAGAATAATTCTCCTTCACTATTAGGCCTCCAGACGGTTGCTCATTTTTCTCCCCCCCTTTCCTCTCTTTCTGCAGGGGCTGTGGTGCTGCTGTCTGTAGCCTATCTGACTTCTCTCTTCTACTACATTCCCGAAGCAGCGCTGGCAGCTGTCATCATCTGCGCTGTGGCTCCCATGTTTGATGCCAAGATTTTCTGCACGTTATGGCAGGTTAAAAGTAGGTACATGAATATCTTTTTTTAATTCCAGAGTTGTTTAGTTGGGAATCATATCATTCTTCCTAGGAATACGGAACCAATAGAAACTTTTGAAACAAGACTTGAAAGTCTGTTCCTTTTTTTGCAACTCGGGGATCCATCATCCCGCAACGACTGACTTGCCGTTATTTCATTAGAGCTGTTCTGCTGTTCTTTGGAAGAGCTGTACTGCAGTCAGCCACTGATGACTATAACAGGCCAGTTTGATCGCTGTGTACAAGGGAGCTTCCCTTTGGTAGCAGTCACCCCTTAGGTTCACCCAATTCATCCTGAGTTGATTAATTTATAGTAAATGTTAGACTAGTGAAGGGTGATGTGAGTTGTGTTTCAACAGTTCTCTGAAGGGCCATACATTAACCAGGCCCAGATTACGTAAAACCCTAGACACCTTTTCATATTCAGAAAGAAGTACAATAATTTCAATGGAAGACCAAAGAAACCTCTGAGTCTAGAGAAACGGTCAAAAAAATAGTCACGTGAATGTTGCTTTTTATGATTTTCAGTCTTGGTCACTTTAATGTCAGTATATCCTTTAGTATACACACACAACGGAATCTTTGTACGTAAGGTGCTGCTTCCTTTCTTGGTGGCTGTTTTTCTCCTGTTGTGCATCAGCAGCCATCTTGCTGACCAGTGATGCAATTTTTATATATTTCTCCTCCTCCTCAGGGCTGGACCTCTTGCCACTCAGTGTGACATTCTTGCTGTGCTTCTGGGAGGTGCAGTACGGCATCATTGCAGGAGTGCTGGTCTCTGGTGTTCTTCTGCTCTACCCCATTGCCAGGCCACGGATAAAGGTTTGTTTTCCTGACTTTGGATGCGCTGTGTTGTCTTAGAAAGGAAAGCCATGTTACTCAATGTGCTTGGTTAGTAACCACAAAGAATGGATCATAGAAGGATTCTGTTATGTCTCCACCTGCTTCTGTCACCTTGTGAACTTCCTGGATATAAGGTAAGTAATGGTTGCCTTTGGCTGGGGTAGGCAACCTGTGGTCCCTGGGCCCCACTTAGCCCCTGGGCCCAAATATACCCCTCAGTGCCCCGATTCCACTGTCATCCCCTCCTCATAGGTTTTTAAAATGACCCCCAAAAAGGTCTAGAGATCCCCTTCTGTGTGGGAACAGGTCGTCCTCAAGGTAAATTTAAAGAAATGGCCACTAGATAGCACCAGAGAGCTTTTCCAGTAAAAACAAAGCCATTTTTTTGTTCTCCCTTTTTGGGGGGAGGGTAGTGGGGGTTGTGGGAATGGACACAGCCCAGAGAGCTTTTCCAGTAAAAACAAAGCCACTTTTTTGTTCTACCTTTTTGGGGGGAGGGTAGTGGGGTTTGTGGGAATGGACACAACCCTTCAGGGTCCCCAGATGTGTCTTTCGTCCCCCAGGCTTTGGTGATTCCCCACCCCTGCTTTAGGCAATTTAAAGTGTGGTACTATAAATAAATAAATAAATAAATTCATGGTCCCCGAATGTGTTTTTTGTCCCCCAGGCTTTGGTGATTCCCCACCTCTGCTTTAGGCAATTTAAAGTGTGGTGGTACTCAATGTAGTGTAGCGGATAGAGTGACAGACTAGGACTCTGGAGACCCGACTTTGAATCCTCACTTGGCTGTAGAAAGTCACGTGGGTGGGGGAGTAGAACTGGCAAGACCACTCCTTAAATACCTCACTTACCTTGAAAGTGCTATTAGGGTTTCTATGAGTTGGTTCTGGACCTAACGGTGCAGAACAAAAACAACAGGCAAGATTGGCAGCCAGAGCTGTGGTGAGTGAAGTACAGAAGTGCCCCAAGCATTGCTCTTGAAAGCCTTTTCCCTCCTGCTAGAGTGAACTCCTTGTTTGATAGGGAGATAAAGACCCTAGAACAGGCGGAATGAAAAGTGCAATAGCAATGGAAGCAAACTTGGAACAAGGCTGGTCAAAGACAGAATGAAATTCTTTTAGGAGTCTTTATCTCTCATGGCTGGGGAGGCGGGGGGAGGGAGACAAAGAAATATTACACATCAGTGTCATCAGTGCGTCCGTACAAAATAGATCTGCAACGTTCTATACTGTGTGAGTTTTCTTCAGCAGACGTTTTGGAGGACAAGAGGCTTGCTGTGTGTGCTGTATGCTTTGCCGATAGAGTAATTCAGAGTCACTCCAGATTGCAGGTCAGGTCAGGTGATATCAGCTGGGCAATGGATGTCTTAGTTGTTTTGGATTCTTTACATGGGATTTCCCAGGGTGTGGATGAGATTCCTGGAAATGTGGGAAACAATACTGCTTCAACCTAGCCATTTCTTAGCCAAGATAAGACTGACCATATGGCTAATGAAGCAGTTAAAGAAATTTTCTGTTGACCAAATAAAGTTAGACAGCTGTAAGCTGCTCCTAAGTAATCTCTTATTGACCGAGGTGATTGAGAAAGTGGGAAATCTAACTTCGCTTAGAAAGCACTTCATTGCAGTGGTTCTGATCCATGCTGTCACACTGTGTAGGTTTTGGAAATTACTGTTACCGTGGCTGTTGGTCTATTGTGTCTTTCACTATAGTTCTGTCCTCTATATTATTTAACATGTATGCAGAAACTTTGGGAGATGTCATCCAGAGCCTTGGAATGAGATACCATTAATGTGTTGAGGATAATCAGCTCTGTTGCTATCTGTTCTTCGTAGTCTCTATGAATCATACATATGGGTTCCTTCTGCACCTGTGCAGACATTTTCAGAACATTTCAGATCCTTTAAAAAACCCATTTACACCCTGTTCACTTTGCATGTTCCCCACCTTGTAGCTAATCCTCAGTTCCTTTTCAGCAGCCACTGAGGTAACATCTTAGAAGTGTTTCTAGAGCTAAACGAATTTAGTCTTTCAAGTCCTCACAAGATAAACATTTCTACAGGTCTTGAACCATGGGGCACTAGTCATACAGCCTGCTAGCGGCCTGAATTTCCCAGCAATTGAGTTCCTTCGAGAGACTGTGTACAAGCAAGCTCTGTCAGGTAAAGTGACCCCTTTGATACAGTAATGACTGTGAAGAACTGAACTGTATCCAGAAGTAAAAAAACAACAACAACACTGTGACACTTCACCTGGGGTAGTATATTGGCATAAAACTATACTTTGAGTCTGAGTGCTGACACGGGAAATCAGAAAAGTGCTCTTATATGCTTCTCGTTGGAGGGTCAGCGAGTTGTAGGTAGAAATGGTATGCACTGCAGAGGAAAGTTGAGTGGCACCTCTTGAACCAAATACATATTAAGATATGTGTCCATTAGTTTAATTGATATGGATAGATATCAATTGATATTGACCTCCAGTCAATTAACTCATTTTCTGTTTCTTTTAATCTCCCCATCTTGGCGATGTATATATAAATAGTTTGGTAGGGTTTTATTATGTACTGTATGTTTATTGTTGTGTTTTATTGCCTGTGTTTTTATCACTCATGTAAGCCACCCCGAGTAGACTTTGTCTAGGGGGCAGGGTAAAAGTCCAATAAAAGTAAAAGTAAAGTATGTAGACAACTACACAGCTTGAGTCCACTAGCTCTTATACGGATTCTAGTTGTTCAAAGAGTCATGGAGCCATAATATGCCTAAGATAGTAATGTTGTGAGAATCCGGTGACGGTTTATGGTTGCCATACATTCTGGTGGTGCTAGGAATATAGGTCTAAACCTTAGCTGAGGAAAGGAAAGATAGAAGCCTAGGAGAGCCACTTCCTTAGCAAAGTGACTTCCAACTGTTCCATTTGAATGTATGGACTATTCAAATATGCTTGGACTTCAGGATGTTTCTGGGTGCAAAACTCAGACCTTAATCCTCTGGAAACCTCCTGGTAGGAGCACCTGATCTTTCAAACGTAATGTTTGTTGTCTACCTTCAGGACCCCAACTGCACAGCGTCATCCTGGATTGCACCCATGTCAGTGACATTGACTACACTGTTGTGTTGGGCTTGTCTGAGCTGTTCCAGGAATTCCAGCACAAGAGACTCTCCTTCATCTTCACTGGCTTGCAGGTGAGTTAAAAATGGGAGAAACCAATGAACGTGGTAGCTAGATAACTGCTCGCTTTAAAAGGAGACAGACCGGGAGGGCTTGAGACACGGCATCTTGCTTAGCGGTAGAGGGTTTTCCAGTAGAAGATCATAGGCCCAATGGCTGGCATTTCCAGTTTAAAAAAACCAAATAAAGGAACCCATATAGAAGATATGCTTGGAAAACCTTCTGCAGCTATTGCCAATCAGAACAAAGAAATACTGGGTTAGATCAATCACTGGTATGACTCAGAATAAGCTAGTTACGTATATTCTTACATTAAGCATAGTACACCATGTAAAGCTCAGAAAGAGGAACTACTCAATTGTCCTCTAGAACGTGGGGTATATGTACCCCCAGCGGTTCAAACCACAACATTTAGGGATATGTGAAAAAAATTGAATAATGGCAGAAAAGGGCACATAGGTCAGCATTGTAAAGTTTTGAAATTAATTGAATTTTATGAAAAGCAGTGGAGTGGGTTTTCTTCATTCTTTAACATCAAGAAAAGCCCCATTCCCTTGCTTTGTTCTTTTGGCAAATGACGGGGAGTCTCTCCCTGAACATTGTGTTGTGAACACACCACTGCAGTATGCATGCTTGGCGGCGCACCCATCACAGACTTAGCTTTCATTCTCCTTTACTTTGTGGACATTTCATGCTGTCGTGCCGGTACCAGTGTATATATAAGCAGGCGCTTCAGTCAGTCCAGTGAGTCCACCAATCATATTTATGACCAACATTTTGCAAATACTGTATAAAAAATACAAATTATGGCAATGGGCTGCCAAGAATGTGTGATCCACACATTTATAAGTGAAAAAAGTTTGGAAACCACTACTGTAGAATATAGCCCACCAGTTTAAGATACAATATATCTAGTCCAGTATTATCTACTCTATCTGCAGTGGACTCCCTAAGACCACAAAGAGGTCTCTGTGGTTTTGCTGGGGATTGACCTTGAGAGCCTACATATGCCAAGGATGCGCTCTGTCTTCCTCCCAGGGTCTTTTTGCTTCTGATTCAGACATTCTTAGTTTTCAAGGGCACCCCTTGAAGGCTATGGGAAGAATGTGACCAGTTTCCCCCCCCCCCCCCCATTCATCCTGTTCACAGGCACATGTTCGCCAAGTCTTGCTGGCTGCTAATCTGGAAGGTTTCTGTAGTTTTCCGAGTTTGAACGATGCAGGTGAGTAAGGTTCGAAATGACCTTTAAAAATACTTCTCTATTTCCAAAGAAACTTTGTTGAGTGTTTGTGGTTGAGATCTTTGGCTGAAAAATGTTGCTATGTTGAATTTCTGTCTTTGGTTTCTTATATTTTCATCCCATCTGAAGGTGAAAATGTTTTCCCGCAGTGACATATATCAATTAAAAATTAGGTCCAGTGCTGGGAGCAAGCATTGGACATAATCTCTGTTCCTGAATAGATTTGGTCTGGCCATGGTGACACGTACCTTCATTACATCTTGGTTGGAGTACCATAATGCAGTCTATGTGGGGCTGCCTGTGGAAGGTGTCAGGCAACTTCAGCCGGTCCAAAACACAGCAGCCAGATTTATTTATTTATTTATTTATTTGATTTATACCCCACCCATCTGGTCTAAAAGACCACTCTAAGCGGCTTCCAATATAGTAAAAACAGTGAAATAATACAAAAAAAACCCACAAACAATTACATACATCATATTGTAATAAACAGAATACAACTATAGAATAGAAAATACATAAGAAGAGAATAAACAGAAAAGTCAGATATTAACTGGAGGGAAGGCCGGAATGTATAGCCATGTTTTTAATTGACTTGTAAAAGTGCCCAAAGTGGGGGCCGCGTGGATCTCAGGAGGGAGATTGTTCCAGAGGCGAGGAGCCACCGCCGAGAAGGCCCGGTTTCGTGTCCTTTCCTTCTGGGCCTCCCTCAGCGTTAGGCTCCTCAGCCTCACCACCTGGCTCGTGCGGGTGATCCAAGTAGATCTAGGCGGGAGCAGGCGTTCCGCCAAGTATCGGGGTCCTAAACCGTTTAGGGCCTTATATGTAAGCATTAACACTTTGAAGTCAATGCGGAAATGGATGGGCAGCCAGAGCAGCATGGCCAGAGTAGGAGAGAAATGTTAGTTTTTTCTCACTCCAGTAAGATTGCTAACTAGGGCTGGTTAAAGGGAAAATGTAACACCCCTGCTGCAGCACCTTATAGGAACATAAGAAGAGCCCTGCTGGATCAGGCCAAAGGCCCATCTAGTCCAGCTTCCTGTCTCTCACAGTGGCCCCACTACGCGCCTCTGGGAGCACATGAGACAACTGGATATCTGTCTCTTGATACCCCTTCCCCTCCATCTGACATTTTGAGGTACCTTCCTTTGAAGCCTAGAGATTATACATCCCCATCATGGCTTGTAACCTGCAATGGACGTTTCCTCCAGGAATCTGTCCAATCTCCTTTTAAAGGCATCTAGGTCAGATGCCATGTGGGACGTGGTGGTGCTGCGGGTTAAACCGCAGAAGCCTCTGTGCTGCAAGGTCAGAAGACGAGCAGTCGTAAGATCGAATCCACGTGACGGAGTGAGCTTCTGTTGCTTGTCCCAGCTTTTGCCAACCTAGCAGTTCAAAAACATGTAAATGTGAGTAGATAAATAGATACCACCATGGTGGAAAGGTAATGGTGTTCTGTGTCTAGTCACACTGGTCATGTGAGCATGGAAACTATCTTCGGACAAACGCTGGCTCTACGGTTTGGAGACGGGGATGAGAATCGGACATAACTGGATTAAATGTCAAGGGAACCTTTAGGCCAGACGCCGTCACTACATCCTGTGGCAAGGAGTTCCACTGGTTGCTGACCTGTTTCCTGGGAGAATTCAAATTGCTCGTTCTAACCTGCAAAACCCTAAACGGTTTGGGCCCAAGCTATCTCAAGGACTGCCATCTCCTTTTATGAGCCTGCTCTAGTGTTAAGATCCTCTCTCTTTCCTCTTGTGTCTCCTGTAGAGAAGATTCTTAAAGAGGAGCCGTGCAGTCCAAGAGAGGTCTTTTTCGATGATGGCAGTGAGAACATATTGCCAACCTCTGGGATCATCCAGTGAGGATCTTGGGCTTCTAATGCCTCTTCCTGCCCACTAGGAGTTTCCTACCCTTGACACCGACATTTTTGGACCTTGAATAACACAATGGAGCATGGATTCGAAGAGCTTGCAGGTGCTCTTGTGTCGTTGCCTGTGCACTTCTTGGCCATTAGGCAACTTTGAATTCAGACGTTGCTGAGGATCTGGAGCTGTGCGTGTCACGAAAGATGAGAGTTGGCATAAGTTTGGATAAGAAAGGGATGAAAATGCAATTACTGCAAATGGTGTACAGTTTCTGGGAAGTGGGAAAACTGAAGAGAGCGTGCAGTGGCACAGCAGCACTTCTAGCTGGAAGGGTTATGGTATATCCAAATAAAACTGTTCCTATAATTTATTTCTAAATGCACTTTGCACTCCAGTGAGACAGTTAAGGGACCACAGATCTTGAAAGGGGAGGGGGAGAGAGCACAACATTTTTTTAGAAAATGGAAGTAAAAATTAGGTGAAACAGATAGGTACCTATCCTGGATGGGTAGTGGGAAACTGTCCGGTTGTATAATTTGGAATGATTTAGGCAGGGAATGAAATGCATGAAGCCAGTTTTCCTGACAGTGTAGAATTTGGGGGCATCTTGAGAACTAATAAATTTTATTTTGCATAAGCCCAATTCTTCAGATGTGTGTATATTTTGGCTCTCAGCTTCAGCCAGACCAATGTTTATTTTTGCAAAGGAAAGCCTCCACTTCTTTGTGTTTGCGCACACTCCTTCACTGTTTTGCACAACAGCACAAGCACTCAACCTGTGGAACTGACATCTTGTCTGAATGGAGATCAGGGCACAAACTTGCAATGAAGAGGATACTCAGAGAGCAGCCCTTTCTGTTCAGTGGTAGACATTTTACAAATCAGAATGTAGAAGTGAACTGGAGAGAAGCAGATAAGGTAGCAGATAATGGAGAGTTAAGGTCTTTGTAGTCCAGAACATCACATCCCTACCGATACTTTTATTTCTGTGTCATGCACCCATCTGCCAAGGAGTAGGCTGGTGGTCTTGGATCCCTTGGCCTTTCTCTGTTATAGCCATTAACAGAATGTGTTTCTAAAAGATAATTTGGGTGGCTGGTCATGCGTGGGTCTATATATGTGTGATCTTTCATATCATTCTCACTAGCAAGGGAGTTTTGTTTCTTCTTAAGTTTCACATCTTTCTGCCACCAGCAAAAATGTTTCGGGTTAGGTTCACTTTCTCTTCCTGTTGTACAGGAAATGCTGAATTATACAAGTTCTGTTATGCAAATACGTAGCTCTCAATTCTCTCTCCAGTAACATTCACTGTTTTGGAGGCAGACTTCCTATTTACTTACTTAACTTACTTACGTACTTGCTCATTCATTCATTCAGATTGAAAAGGTGGTTGTGTCTCCTTGGGACAAACTTGTTGGTCAGTCATTGGGGGTTGGGGCAGAGTTGGTCAGAATGGCTTGGACGTTCTGGTTGTAGCTGAGGCATCATCTGTCTCCTCGCCCTTTTGACCAAGAAACTGGAGTTTCAGTAAAAAAAAGGTGTGCAGCTTTTGTTTCATTTCCTGTAGTTGCTTTCTTTTCTCCTCTCACCATCCTATGGCAATTACAGCCCCCGACCCCTGGAAATGGTGGCCACCTGAATGCTTCCTTATTTCTCAGCTAAGTAAGAAAGGCGGTGCTGGAAGGAGGTGCAAATCTCTTACCCCAGTGAGGAAAGGGGTCCTCACAGCCAAGGGATTAAAAGCTCCAGGAAATTGCTTGTGTCACCCCACCTTTTCCCCTTCGCTTAGCTCTCAAGGCAGTGGACAACATTTAGCAAACAGTTTTCTTTGGGCATCCCTCTCTCACATGCCTTAGCTGTAAGACCTTATTGAAAGTGTGAATACTACATTTTAGACACACACAGGAAGGTGATAATGAGTGGAAATCCAGCAGACCTGAGGCAGGGTAAAACCTTAGCTAAAAGAACTCATAGTCTGAAGATGGCAACTGCAGACAGAATGAATCTGTTACTGCAAGGTGCTGCAGGTACTGTTATACCTTCATGTCCCGAACAAAGAACCAAAGCCTGCAAGAAGCCGATTGTTTCCTAGACTGGGCTTTTGATACCAAAGCTTGGAACTTTACTGTTACTCTTTAGAACAATAGATGCTGCATGAAGATTCATACTGGTTCCCTCAAGTGGCCAATACTGCTATTGAACACTGAAAACAATGTGGTGATGATGATGAACATATGACAAAGCAAGGCTTCATTTGATACCTATTCCCAGATACCTTGAACTGCAATTGTCAGAAACCATCTGGTGGAAAATGATGCGAGATTTATATCAAGAAAATGTCATTTGGGCTGGAATTCTAAAGAAAGGTATTTCTTATGCGTATAGACTTTTTTATTTTATAATTACAGTATTTACATTTTTTTATCTTGCCCAACTAGTAGCGGAGCCACTACTCTGAGTGACTAACAAAATAAAATAACATAATAAACACCAATGGAAATTACAAATAAGGCATCACACACAATGCAACACCTTTCAAAAGACAATAAAATTGCAAGAATAATAGCAGCCGGCAGAGAGAAGTTGATGGATACAAAATAGAATCAGAACATGACATTAATTAAATTTATTGCAAAAAATAAAAATAAAATAAAATTGAGCTGCTGTAACAAAGTGCCTTTCCATAGAATTCATCTACCTGGGCCCCTCTGAATGCATTCAACACAAGCATAAGGAATTAAAAATTTCATCTGTGTTGGGTTGGGTGGAAGAATTACATGAGGTCCTTTTAAATTAAGCTTCCATGAACCATTGATACTCTGAACCATCAATGCAGAAGGGTTTCTAATGGACTACTGATCCAGCGTCTGTCCATCACAGAATCTAGAAGTTGATGCTCTTATGAACTTTGCTGATTAATATATCCAAAACAAGATGACTTTGTTTAAAACAGAGGAAACTTCCTATTTTATGTGAGAAACCCAACTTGGGCTTAATAGACAGTACTGGCTCTCGGGTAACTCATTTGAACATCATCTTGCAACTGGTGCAGCACCTGACTAAATTAATAGCTATTCAGGAAAACACAGTTGATGGACTCATTCTTTGGTTGGTGTGATCAAGCTGATGAGGTTTTCAGAATAACCAGTCCCATTGTGGTCATCTTGGTGTGATAATGGCACTCTTTGGAATTATGTGCTGGATAAAATGTTTAGTGCAAAAGCTCAAGGTTTCTGATCTGAGGTTTCTCATCTGATCTGAGCATTCAGCCTGGAGGCAGGCGGTGCATCATGGCCTCTCCCACTTTGAAGAGACCCTTGTTCAGCAGGCCGAGGCAAAGAGGCAGTCCCGGAAGCAGCAAAATCAGGGAGCTGGACAGGGGACAGATTGGATTTGTCTTCAGCGTGGAAGGGATTGTCACTCTCAAATTGGCCTCCTCAGCCACACTAGACACTGTTCCAAGTCCTCCATACAGAGCACGTTACCATAGGCTCTCGAGACTGAAGGATACCTAATCTAATCTGGCACAAACTCAGCAAAATGGTAGACTAGATCAATGCAGAATGGTGTGTACCATGTAGTGTGATGGGCAATTGTTGCACCCCCCATCAACAGAGGGCATGTTACCGAACTGGCAGGTTTGTGCAACAGCCCATCAGAGTCTCACTCTTACTTAGACATGTATGTGTGTACCACATGCTGTTTTAGCTGGAAAACTTGTCAGGCCAAGAACAATTATTGTAAGTTAAAAACAGTGGCAGAGAAGAAATAGCCTCTGTCTCAAAGTGGGCCAGGCCCTAGGAGGAAATGACAATATAGGTCTAAAAGGACTCCAATCAAAATTACATAGAAGACAATGAATGCCCCTGCCAAGGAGTCATCTCACAGGATAGTCCTCCCATGGAGATGCCAGATTATTAGACGATTTTTGTGTTTATTGGAGAAGGGACAGCCCGCATACATGAACCCTCACATCCGGGAAAGCAAGCATCCTAGAATAGTGGTTGTTCTGGGTTTTTTGGGCTCTTGAAGATGCCAGCCACAGAGACTGGCGAAACGTCAGGAAGAACAACCTTCAGAACACGGCCAAAGAGCCCGAAAAACCCAGAACAACCATTAGATCCCAGCCGTGAAAGCCTTCGCGAATACATCCTAGAATAGTCTGCCCATCTTCTTGTTCAGTCAGATGGCCTATGTCCCTTGTCCCTGGATTAGCCTGGTAAGGAGATGATGATCAAGGCAGAATAGAACAGATCACTTTAGTCATCTTGGCCAAAACCAGATTTAAAAAAAAAGACACACCATAGCCATATTGTTTTTTTGGGGAAGGATTCCCAGTGTGGTATCATGGACAGGGTGATGAACTAGGATTTCTGGAGAACAGTGTTTGAATCTCCACTTGGCCATGAAACTCATTGGGGCAGTGGAACTAGTAAAACTGCTCTTTAAATATCTCACTTATCTTGAAAACTCTTATTAGGGTCTCTATAAACTGGTTCCATCTTGATGGCACAGAACACACCGAGGTAGATTTAAGGGGTTCTGAGCTTTGTCCAGCAGCACTATTGTGGTCAATAATATTAATCCAAGGTGTCATTATTGCTACATATGTGGCAGACCTGGGCAAAGTATGGCCCGAGAGTCACTCCTGTTCGGCCTGCTGGTCATTGCTCCAGTCTGGCCGGCCCGTCGCCGCTGAGTGAGCCGGAATCCGGCTCTGGTCACCCAGCATGGCAGTAAGCAAAACTTGTGAGATCCGATGCTGGGATCTCGTGAGTTTTGACTGTTACTCTTGAGCCGCAGGCTGCGGAGCCTGCGGCTCAAGAAGCTGGAAGTGATCCTTGTGCAGGCGACGAGATGACGCATCACATCGCCAGTGCGGGATAGAAGACAATCAGAGAGGAAGGCCACAGGAGTTTTGACTGTTACTCTTGAGGCTCAGTGTCTGTTTTTTTCTCCCCCCCCCCACGGTGAACGAATTACAACACTCACATAATTAACTCCCTAAAAAGTTTAGGGAGTTAACTATGTCAGCCTTGTAGTTCGTTCACTGCACGGCCTCAACCAATGGGGGCCTATTGCTACCCACAAATTGGGGGCCTATTACTACCCACCCCCAAACACAGTTCAGATTTTTCACGTGGTCCCCTATAGAAATTAATTGCCTTTGTGGGTTTTTAACTTGTAAACAGGCCAGAGTTGTGCTCACACTACAGGTTATTACACAACAGATCTTAATCACTTGCTGTTTTGTGTGCAGGCAATGCTCTCTCCGCCACTCTTCCCGGCCCTGAAATATTTGCTCAAGAGGAATTTAGCAAGGGGATGGGGAAAATGTGTCCATTCCAGGAAAGAGGGTGAGACTCGAATCACGTCAGTTGGCCCAAGGCAGCACATAATCCAGCTCGAGGAAATGCAATGTGTCTCTGCATTTCCCTGCCATTTTTGCCCCCACTGCTGTTTTTCTTTATCTTTGGGTTCGTCTCCCTACAATGCCTCCTTCTCAATGCTAGAATGTAGCATGATAAAATGAACCATGCACGGGATCCTTCTTGTCTCTCTTTTGCTCAAATCACTCCCCTTAGTAACAAGGAACAGGCAGGCAGTCCTTCTGAAAAGTAGTAAGTTACAGCCATGACTATCCCGGACCAACAATAAATAAACTTCCTCCAGTTTGTTACTGTCTAGAATAACTTGCTCAAAATGGGCTGTCATACAAGCTCCCAAGCAGAGAGACAGAGAGTCAGGTGACCAAACTATGTGTTTGTATTGTAGTTTGGTGGGAGGAGGGGAGAAATAAAAAGAGTCCAAAATGTATCCTGAGCAGATTTTACTTAAATATCCTCAAATGGAGATGGCAAAATCATTGCACCAGCTGGAGGCGCATCAGGTCTCACTATGAACAATGTAGGACAAATTGTCTTTCCCCATCTCTGTAGTCCAAGGGGTGCCAATCATCCAGTACCTTTTCTATTATGACCTTGTTGCATCGAGGCACAGCAGCTTCCACTTGGTTCATAACAGAGGCTCAAAGAGACATGGCAATGCTCATGGCAGAAGAGGAGTTACTGCACTAAGCAACAGCCAGATTAACAATATGACCTAGTGGTGAATTCCTCAGCTCAATCAACCCTTTTATGAGTACAGTAATAGTAGAACTCTCTGATTGCAGATTGTGCCCTGAGCACCTACTCCAGGAAATTTCCATAATCCAATTAACATTTAAAAAAAAACGACAACTGTGTGGTCCTTCCACAAAATCCAAAAAGGGTAGGTGGTATTGGGCCACTGAAGTGTTTAAAACAGGCATATCCACTTCAGTATCATCCCAGTCTCTTTCTCCCACTGCTTCCAGCCTAACAGGAATTTAGATGTTACAGCAAAACGAGGCGCTAGAGGAATATACTGGATGATTGCCAACCCTTTATTGCTAGGGATTTGGATCTACAAAAGATCACACTGAAACAAAGCTGTCAGAGTCTGTAAGGTGCCATGACATGTGGCCTCTGCTTCCTCCCAACTTTAATTTTGTCACCAGCGATGGAGAAAGACAATGCCTGAAATAAAACCTCAACATCTAATTCTTTAGAAATATTCATATGCTTAGTGTTTTTAGCTTGTAGAGATTGTCTTTTTAACGCTGTAAGCCACCTTGGGTCCTTAAGGAGAAAGGCAGAAAAATAAAAAAGTAAAAATCTCACCCGGACACAAGAAGTTCACCACCACTATCCTTGGGGAATTATTTCAACTCTAACACTGACACTATAACATCTGCTCAGGATGCATTTTGGACTATTCCATTTTTCCGCTCGCCCCCCCCCCCAAATACTCTGCAATGCCTAGCTTGATTAGGGGTCCTGTTGGGCTTGAACATTGACTTTTTTTAAAGGACAAAAAAAGTTTTTCCCATCTTCGGTTGTGTGCAGGGACTATGTGAATCTTCCGTACATTTTAATCCACTGTTATGAGTTTAAAGTTGTTTTTTGCCATTATCTCAAACATTGCAGTCCAAAAGGGTGTGTACCTTGTTCAGAATGCTCTAGCTTGCATCCTTGAGGAGAAGCTGGAAGATCAAAGTTCTCTTATGACTTTTTACAGAAATTGTGTAGGAATGACTCAGCTTTGTATTCCTAGAGACAGAGTACAAAACCCTGGAAATGAAAGTGAAAGGGTGTTTCTGAAAAGCTTTGCAGCCCTTGAGTACAAGATAGTCTGGAAACTAAATAATTAGTCTGCTTCTAAATAATTAGAAGCAACCCTATTCTGAAGAAGGAAGAGTAAGTAGCTGTAGGTGTAATGGTCTGGGTGTTATTAAAAGCCAGCAAATGCTTAATTTTCCTGTTGCTTAATATTTGCTGTACTTTAAAAGGCAGAGAAAAAACCTACAGTACTTGGGTTGTTTTTGAACAAACAATTGGTTCTCTTAACTACAAACTGCAGTTGGGTGAGAAGGCTTTTGTCAAGACATTTTATAAAGTTTTGCTTATTTATGATGCATAACATATGATCTAACATAGTTGCAGTGGACTGAGTGTGGTGCTGTATGAGATAGGCATATAAAGAGTGCACAAACACCACAAAATAAAAAAGAAGCAGTGAGTTATTTTTGTTCGTGATAGTAGAAAGCTGGACAAGTACTTATAAGACACATAGGATTTCAGAAGTGACACATAAAGTAATTTCTGAGTTGATTTTGAACATTCATCTTCATAACGTCATTTATTTATTTTTTCTGTGTACTTTCACACTGTTTAATCATTCAGTGTTTGTGGATCAGGATCTAGATTTGCACCCCAGCTGACAAAGCTGAACTAGAGACAAGAACCATAGTCAAGATTGAAACTGAGGGTGTGACTACATTGACTAATGTGGGAGATGCCCTAGAATGGGGACAGTCATTTTTGCATTATTTTCCACTGATTACACAACACACCAATGGGAATCAGCACAGAATTCCATCTCCCATCTGCAGTTGTTTCCTGCACCACTGCGGCTTCTATTTTTTTGGAGCTGCATATATTTGCATTGTTTCTGACAATGCAATCATGTGAACTGATATGGAGGGATTTGTAGCCATTCCAGCAGGCTCCAGCAGCAGTGAGAGAAACAGGACAGCAGGAAAACTGACTGCCATTTGAATTCTCTCCTCCTCAAACCTGGTGCTTGTGTCTGCTTGTTTTCCTTTTCCTCTTCCCTTCCCACTCCCTTTTTGCTTTTGTTTTTCTTTCAAAGCATTATAGTGCCAGGGCAAATAGGTGACTCAAGAGGAGGAAATTGGCAGGTGAAGGTGAAACTTCACATTAGATCCATTCTTATTTTTCTTGCGGTGTAGTTCCACTCTGAAAGAGATGAACAGTCCATTGCTACACCCTGGGTATTGAAGAAATGTGAACCTGAGCCTAATTTGCAGCTCCCTAAACCTAGCGGTTCGAAAGCATGCAAATGCGAGTAGATAAATAGGGACCACTTCGGTGGGAAGGTAAACAGCGTTCCGTGTCTAAATCACACTGGCCATGTGACCACGGAAAGATTGTCTTCGGACAAATGCTGGCTCTATGGCTTGAAGAGCGGGATGAGCGCCGCCCCCTAAAGTTGGACACGACTGGACAAAAATTGTCAAGGGGAACCTTTACCTTTTAATAGTAGAACCAGGGCTGGATTGTGCCATAGGCCAAGTATATACTATTTTCAAAATGTTGTAGTCTTACTAGCTCTGTTAGATACTATACTTTGGAAGTTATACACACACCTTCACAATCTTAACAGAATCTTGTACATACTTAACACCATGTAATTAGGCTAATTGCTTTCCTTCCTCAATTCTACTTGTAGACACAATATTTGTATTCAGACAGACCTGAAACAAGGGGATGTGCTGCTGAATGATGGTTTAAGGAGTGTTTTAATGTATTTGTTTTTATATTCTAATTAATATTTTATTTTGAACCCATATTTCATGATCGTTAGCTGCCTTTTTGACACAAGGACTAAGCAGATATCTATTAAATAAAACTAAAGAAAAAATTAGGAACAGTAAATATAAATTTGGAACAGACTTCCAACTTTTTAAAGGAACTCGTTTAATGGCTCAGTGATTGTTTCTATTAGCAAGAAATCATTCCTGATCCATTGCATTGTTGTGTTTTATTTTCTTTGAGACAGGCCAAACGAACCAACCAGGAAAAAACCTCTTTGCTTCTCCCTAGTGTCCCACTCCGATACTGCACCTTGAAAATATTTTCAGAAATAAAAACGACAAATATCAAATATCTTGCCACTTAAGACTAGTAACAGCATAACACCTTATTGACAACCTATCAAAATGACTTTTAAAAGGACCTTTGAGAGTAGCTTTCAAAAAAAACGCAGAAAACGCTACTCAGTTACCCAAGGATCGCTACTCCCTACGTTGCTCTTACGCTGCTCATTGAACCTGAATAGTAACTAGTTACAGCCAACTATACTAGTTAAAACTACTTATTGTGCGCTGGAGCGTCTTAAAAGAGTTGAACAACGGGCGACAAGCGGTTGTAAATGGAACACAACTCGCCAATGCCGCTAGAATGGAAAGGCACAACCGTGAGCATCGGAAACCCCTCATTTACTTTCTGTTATTTAAAGTCTAATTGTAGGGCTGGCCCCGATCCCAGGAAATGGATTTACGTTCTCCACATCAAAGACAAAAACGCACTCAAAAGATTTTATGGGGACGGGAGGCGTAAACCTCGCCCGCCGCTTTCTCTGTGTTTAGAAGAGGGTCATCCACGCAGGAACCTTCCTGAAGGCGCGCCCTGAGGGCACCTCTCAAATTCTCCGCTGCCAGGCGCCCCCGCCTGCGCGTGCGCGACCGCCTCACAAACCCTCGTGGGCAAGCGCGCGCGCTCCACGCACCAAAGCCCAGCCGGGCGGGGGAGGGGGCCTTCGTGAGTGACGTTCGGAAAGCGAAACTTTGCATCGCCTCCCATAAAGCGGCACCGAGCGGAGCCTGGAAAACGAAAGTGCGCCGGGCTCGCGCCGCTCGTGGGGTGTGCGCCAGCAGAGGCGGCTTTGCAGCAGCAGCAGGAAGGAGAGGAGGTTCCTCCGTCGGAGCCGCGGCTTCGGCAATTGTTTCGGACTTACTTTGGGGTGAGTAGCCCCACGACTTGGAGGGCAGGAGGTGCAAGCTGCCGTCGCCGGCCACCTCTGTGGCTGTAACAGGGGCTGTGAACTGTCCAGCCCTTTGGTGTAGCAGAGCAGTGATGGCAGCCTGCCGGGGGTGTCTTTTCCCCCATCCTTTCGGGCAACGGCGGGGTGGGGGAGGCGCTCCCCGTCTTGGGCTTCCTTTTCAACGGGGAAGGATAGATATGTTTCCTTGGCGAAATCGCCCTGGCAGGAAGAAGTTACTTTACATTCTGGCAGTTTTCAAAGAAGTCGCTGTGTTAGCTTGGGTGAGCATATCCGGGCGAAAACGAAAACTTAAAAAGAAAAAACAAACACCGTCTGAGAACGCGAGTGTACTCACAAAAGCTGACGTTGAAACTCAACAGTTTCGCGCTTGAGGTGCCTCGGTGTGTTTGTTTTCTACGTTCTTGCAGGCTATCATGGGATGCGGAGGAGACGTTGTTGTGTTTGTCCGCTGTATTGGAGAAATGGAGGCGGGCGGGAAAGGGGGCAGCCCTGGCAGGGCTCCCGGCTCTCCCCGTGAGCGGTGCTACGAAGGGCGCGGCCCGGCTGTTTTTCCCTTCATCCTTATTATGGGGGAGCCACTTTCGTTAAGTTCGGCGCCCACCACTGTCCCCTTCCGGTGCTTGCCGGGCTTCGGCTCCCGCCGGTGGGCGTGGCCTCGAGCCGGGACGCTGCGCAGCGGTGCCTCCCTTGCCGGGACTGTCGGAGACATCAGGCAGGTGATAAAACGCCTAGTTCCGCTTTGTTGCTGTTTTGTGGGAGAGCCGCCACTCGCTTTCTTCCTGGTTTACTCTTGGGCTCCGGAGTAGCTTCAAACAGCCTGTGTCGAGTAACCGTCGGAGAATGACACCCTGGGCATTTGCTTTTAGGGAGGGAGCGGAAAGATGATGATTCTTGTTCGATGTTAGTGATGCATGCAATCAATTTTTCCCCCTTGAAAACAAGCTGAGAATACCTTGCAAACATGTTGAAACCGTGGTTTCAATGAATTCTGGGGCTTGTAGTGCCGGGAACTTCTTTTCCCTCCTCTCTTCATTCAGCGCTTCCTCCTTGGTCGGAGCGCGCGCATTTGTTCTTCGTAGGAGCGCTGAGAAGCAGATGCCGTAAGTCGAGTGACCCGTTATTTGCATAAGAGTCACTGATTGGAGTGTTATCTAGGGAATGGGCGGGGCCGGTTAGAATGTGGAGGCCGGTCTCGCCCTTCCTGAAGCCTTTTTAACTGTGCCACTCAAGAATGTTGTGGGAAATCTTCATGGAGAGATGGAAGGGACCCTATATAGATCGAGTCCAACCTCTATGAAGGAGGCACAGTGGAGAACTGAACTCCCCAAATATATTTGAGAGAAGGGGGAGGCACACATTTTATAAGTCTCGAGCCATAACTGCTCCAGGTTTCTGAGGGTTGTAGTCCCATGACTTGTCAGGTCTTAGTTGAATAAGATGAGTATTTTTAATTTTCCAGAGGTGTTCATATGAAAGTGAGGTTCTCTTGGCAAAAGGGACTATGGGGAAAGCAATTACGGTAGTTTGGAGACATGTTATGCACCTGATAAAGCCCAAACTCAGTTGATGTGGGAGCTCACAGAAAAAGCACACTTCTTTGCAGAATGGAATTTAGTAATAAGAGGAGGCATGAATTTAATAGTCAATCGAAATCCAGGTAGAGCATCAATTTCCATCCCCAGGTTAAAGCACAACTGCGATTTTAAGTTTATTAAAAGAACATAGTATAGTACAGTGGTCCCAATCTTGGGCCTCCAGATGTTCTTGGACTACAACTCCCATAAGCCTTCACTACCACCTCTGCTGGCCAGGATTTCTGGGAGCTGAAGTCCAAGAACACCTGGAGGCCCAAGGTTGGGGACCGGACCACCGGTCTAGTAGATGCATGGTGATTTAAAAACCTATTTTAAAATAAATTTAAAAGGACTATACATTTTACTCACAGAAATATGCATAATACTTTGAATTGATCATGTTGTCTGTATCCAGAATAAACATCCTGAATAGCAAAAATGATTATCTCACCAGCAATAACAGAACACACCATGGTCTACAATAATATGGACCCCAGCCCACAGCAGATCCCATGTGAGAATTAAAGACTATATAAACCTTTAGCAAACCTGAAAGTAGTAAAAAATATCAAAAAAATAATAAGCTGTTCTCTAAAGAAAACTCTACTCTTGGGAGCTATCAAGATCAGCAATGAAATACTGTCCACTTGTAGTGGATGGATCCTTCAGTTACTCAGGCCCTATCTAGAATACACCTAGAAGTCAGGAACCAGGGGGTCGAAAGGGGAAGAAGCCAGAAAAAGGGGAAGAAGTTGATTCAGATGCAGGTCTGACAGGAAATGCTAGCTGCCTGGAAAATAGGATGTTGTGAACAATTGCTGACATAGCTTCTTCAGCCCACAACAACAGGCCAGTAAGGAGATGGATACATCATGTATAGACCCCTGGTAATTTGTTTCCTCATGAGCCTGGGATGTTCCCTACGCGGAGATATACTTCCTAGGGTTCTGTCAACCCCTTGAAACAATACAGAACAGTTTCCATGGATTTTGGGCATGCCATCTTATTCATCATCTTGTGGTTAGTCACTGGGGAAGAAAGTAAAGAAGCCAATGAGAAAGCAGGAAACTTTAGGGGTGTCAATGGAACAGAAACCCACTGTACCCCGAGAGAAGCTTTCTCCCCTCAGCTTCCTTGTCTCTGAATCATGGTTGCTTATATTTTCCCATTTTTCGAGGGGGAAGGACTTTCCCTCTCCTAGACCCATCCTTCTCTCAGTGAACCTTCCTACTGAGCCTTTCCAGGATCTTATCATCTGGAATCTAGGAGGAGGTTCTGCTGGTACTACAGAGCCGAACACTTTGCACCCCTACATTGGATTAGGTAGATACAATATTTTAGTTCCTATTCTAATCATATTTTGGTTTGCTGGTTTTGCTGCTGTACAGTTGAGAACCTTTAGGCCTGCTTTTAAAAATTAAGGCTGGAGGGAGTTTGGGTGATGTTAAATAATACTTCAAATGGCTGCTAATCTCATAGGCCTTGATTTTGCATCCCACAGAGATTTCATTTAAGGAGTTTGCTTGGAACTGTATCTGTTTTGATGGCTTTAGTGGGAGTGGAATCATAGTCTGCATGGGAAAATTTCTGTATATAACAACTAGTTTGATTTTTGTGAATGCTATTGTTTTCTTCATGGAATGTCATTCAGGTTTCTACTTGAAAATGTTTCATTTTTTTTCAACTAACAAAAGACATTTATAATTTCTCTCCATTGTTTGTGTTAAACTTAATTAAATGTTTCTATTAATTATACCTGAAAGTGGCCTAGGGTAATTTTTGCTTATACCTTCCTACCCACCTGAGTAAAAAGGACGTAATTTTAATTGTCCGGCAAAGGTTGACCAGAGCTGGTTTTGAAAGAGGCATCCTTGAATCCTCTGCCATACTACATTAAAGCATTACATTCTGAAGACAGGGAAGATCCCCAAAAAGTCAAAGAAAAAACATACATAAGTATACTTTCCAGAATTAACAAGGCAACAGAACAACCTAAATAGGGGGAAAAACCAAAGCTAATAACCCTGCTAATTAATAAAAAAAGCTGAGCTAGTCTTCATAGAAAGAGACAAAAACGAAACAGGTTTCGTGTACCTCAAAAAGAATGCATATGAGCTTGGTAATAGGAACTCCAGAGTGTTATCTAATGCACTGGGGGGGAAAAGCCAGAAATGCAGTTTATGTGTGTTCTGTGTCCTTAAGTGAGATATTTAAGGAGTGTTTTTACCAGTTCCACAGTGAGTTTCCATGGCTGAATGGGGATTTGAACCCTGTTCCCCAGAGTCCTCGTCCATCACTCTATCCACTCACCCACACTGGGGGGAATGCAGTTGTCACCTTAAGAACACAAGATAGGAGATCAGCTTTCTCACTAATTCAAATTCAAAACATTTTAAATAAATATTGTACCAACTTAAACAGAGTATAACTAACAGACCAAACTAACCTTGATAACTTTGTAGATGTATTGCCAACATCCCCTCTTATACACAAGCAAAATCCTAAACAACCCATTCACTGAATCCAAGATAAAACTAATTACAGTATTAAGAGGTTTCCCAGCACAAAACATTTGGGGAACATGGATACCCAGGAGAATTCTACAAACAAGATTGTGAGCTTTTTGCCCTTTCGGGCTAATTTTGTACAACACTTTATGTTGTGTACTTCAGGTTATAAATTGGGTGATTTAGCACTGTTTACACTCAGGATTGCCTCCCAAAAATCTTCCAATGACTAGAAGCTATTAGCATGACACAAAGCTAATACTTAAACATCTCAAGTTTTGGTATCTGATTTTGTATAGTACTGTATTGTTAAAACTATGGAAGGCTCAGGATTTTTTTTCATGTACTGTATTACTGTGGTGTGCATTTCTGTATTCATAGCATTCTTGTAAAATATAGTACAGTACTAGTATTGTTATCCACCAGTACCAGTGACTCAAACTCCAGTACAAAAAGGATGTGAAAATTCACAGTCTTTCCTGGTTTCAGTTTCATTTCATGGACAGTGAGACAGCAAGCCTTCAAACCTTGGCTAATATTGCTCCTCTCCTCCATCTGACATCTTTCCTATTTTCTTACAGGCCATTAAAAAACCTTCATCCTGGGTCGCCGATCCCCCAGAAAGGGCTTTAAGTGCCCTAACTGCAAGAATTTCCAAAATGCATCGCACAAGTTTTGCAGTAACTGTGGGAATAAGTTGGCTCCTTCTGCCAGCACAAAAAGTAAGTTATATACAGTACTCTGATGTCTGTTCTACAGTGTCCTTGTACCACTTCAGTCACATATTGTGTTAAGTTTATAACAATCAGGATTTACGCCATGAGTGGGAAATTTTGGTGGGCCTGGAGGCAATTTTTTTTGTTCCAAGCAACTTCCATGAGTTGGCCAAAGTCCCTGAGTGGCCAAAAATGGGGTGAGGTGGGGATCCATAAGTACTTTCTGACTTAAGATTTGGAAGAGGGTCGTGGAAGACCCCCAGCCACTCTAAAGCAATAACCACTGCAACTGGAGGCTTCAAAGAAAGTAAAAACATGAAATACCTGTCTATACAGCCACATTTTCAGAGATGTCTTAAAAATCCCCAGTGAAGGGGCCAGGCAAATTTCAGGTGGGAATTTATTCCAAAGATGGGGAGCAACTGTGGAGAAGGCTCGGTTCCTGATCTCTTCCAGGTCTCTCTTGGGTCCATGACCTCAACCATCTAGTCTGGGATGATTGAGTAGGCTGGGCAGATCTCACGGGGAGGATGCGTTCTGCCAGGTATTGAGGTCCCAAGCCATCTGTCTTATATGTCAGTATCATCACCTTGAAGCTGACATGGAAACAGACAGGTAGCCAGTGTAAGGCAGCCAGAATGGGGGAGATATGGTGATATTTATTTATGCTCTTTATGGGGCATAAATGGGACACAGTAGTCTGATTGCCATATTCTGGACCCAGTGTTCCCCATAAGCTGATTGTGCACATGTGCTCACCATTTGAGCTGTGCATGGGCAGCTGGCAGCTAGCAGCCAGTTTGCTCCAAATGAAACCCCACCTACCCCTGCAAGGCTCCCATATGTGGGACAGAAAATTAGAGAGAACATTGCCTGGACCTGTTGAAGTTTCTGTAACAGCCTGATGGGGAGCCCCCATAAAGAGCATTACAGTAGTCTAATCAAGACCACCAATGCATGAGCAGCATGATGAGGGACCTAGAGTCAAGGTAGGGATGCAGCTGGGCGATCCGTCTCGGGTGGAAAAAGGCGAAGTGGACCGCAGACACTATCTGAGACTCTCCATTGATAGCGATGGATCCAGAAGTATGGCTAGGCTGCGAATCTCATCCTTAGCAGAGAGGGTAGCCCCTACAAAAGAGGCGGAGGTTCCCAATCTGCTGACAGTAGGGGCATCCACCCGCAGGACTTCTGTCTTGTCCAGGTTCAGCCTCAGTCTGTTATCTTTTATCCATCCCAGTGAGGCGTTCAGGCAGCACTCAAGAGATGGGATGGCATCCACTGCAGAAGCATAGAGGGAGAGATAGTGCTGGGTGTCATCTGCATATTGGTGACACAGAGCTCCAGAACTCCTGATGACCTCCCCCAGTGGCCTTGTGTAGATATTACACTGACTGAAAATATTCTTCTTTATATCCAAATCTAAAGGGGATGTGGTTGTATGTGAGCTCAATTGAGCTCAATTGTATCCTCTAATTTGCATGAAATTATATCCCATAAGATTTTCAGGAACTCTTTTAGTGGAAGTGCTTCATTTCTTTCCTGAATAATAGATATGCTCCAGGATACAGATTAGTAAATGCATCTTGAAGACACAAAGTGTGCTGGCCAGAATTCTGTTGGATATTTACGCACATGCAGAAGCAGCCGTGGAAGTTGCCATGGCAAATTGACAAGATGCTGGTTGTGTAGGTGATAATGCACCTAACACATCCCCCTGCTTTGACATTTAGCTTTGGTAGCTTCTGCAGTTCCTCTTGCCCACGTATAAATATAAAAAAGGTTTTGGGTTGCTGATTTTGTTGGCTTTACTAACATTTTCTGATTGCTGAGCTCCTTCCTCCGTCAGTGGCAGATATCTGTTGAAATAACTTTTGAGATGACTTATTTCCAGGTGCAAACGAAAGAGATGCAAACCTGAGTTTGGAGATGGAGTCTGGGAAAGAACTGAGGATGGAAAGCTTTTCTTCTTTGGGATCCTCGGCTGAGCAACAGCCACCCACTGAGGAAGCAGAGAAGGAGTCAGAAGAATCTCTGCCAGAGGGTCAAGGCTCATTGTCACAGAGAAAAGTATGTATATTCGAGTACAGGTTGGGTCCAGTGCTGAGATTTCAGTCATGCTTCTGTTCACTAAAGAAAGCGAATAGTTTGACCAATACTCCTTTTAACGTTAACAGGTATCTCAGAGCTGTTCACACTGTTTCACTGTTTCCTGCAGTGGTTGTAATAATGGAATGATTTCGACTTGCTGTATTTATATGCAAGGAGTTACCTTTTGCTTTCAGATGCTAAGTTCCTTAAAGTAAGATAGTTTTTCAACAGGTTGTAAAAGTTGTGAAGGATGTTGGCTGGCTTAAATTGGATGATAATGATAACTCTCCTTCAAGAAAGAGGAGAAGGGAGGAACCAGACCTACATGAAGTCAAAAGATCATGCTTTAGCCCACAACAGATAGTTTTCCTGTACGTGATATAACCTAACCAGGTGCTTGGATCTCTCTTCTGGACAATGTGATATGGGCTGTAGATATAATCTGTCAGACTTTGTAGTGTTTCTGTGATTGCTGGGTTTTCACAAACTTTTCTCAAGACTTGAATGGAACCGTTTACATAGATGTATCATGTTCAGGGTTAAAAATCCTCACAATTCACAAAAAGCCAACAGCTGAAGAGTTGTTGGCTTTTACACTCTGAGTGTGTAGTTAAAACTTTTTTTCAAATTTTAAAAGAAAACCCTTTAAAATTAGGTGGAAGAATAACCTTGAAACAAATATTTAGGTAGAGAAAACTTGATGCAGTTCTTTACTAGACATGTTGTTGTTGTTTAGTCGTTTAGTTGTGTCTGACTCTTCATGACTCCATGGACCAGAGCACGCCAGGCCCTCCTGTCTTCCACTGCCTCCCGGAGTTGGCTCAAATTTATGTTGGTACAGTAGCTTCGGTGACACTGTCCAACCATCTCATCCTCTGTCGTCCCCTTCTCCCCTTGCCTTCACACTTTCCTAACATCGAGGTCTTTTCCATGGAATCTTCTCACGAGATGACCCTCAGCTTCAGGATCTGTCCTGAGCACTCAGAGTCGATTTCCTTTAGAATGGATATGTTT